ACCACAGCCAACCACAAACAAACAACCACACCCTAGACCAACCCCAACCTCTCTCACCACCAAAGGAACACAAGTGAATAGCAAACAGAACCCGCACAAAGGCCACTGACACAAAACCCCACACATACATTAAGCAAATGAGAAACATCGCCTCCCGACCCCCCCTCGCCTTTCCCCCTCCACCTCTCCCCCCCCCCTTCTCTTCCTAATGTAACCCTAACGTCTCAACACATGAAACTGACCTATGGAAAATGGAACTTGAAAAAAGAAACATTGCGCATACCTTTGTAAACCAAGAAAACTTTAATAGAAAATAGAAAACAATCCACTGCTGTTCCATTGCAAAACACGGGGGGGCCAAAAGCAAAAAAGAGGTGCTGAAGGATTGGCGCATCCCGATACACACACAGCTCATTGTAAGTGGCACAATGATAGTTAAAGGTAAAGGGACCCCTGACCATTAGGTCCAGTCGTGCCCGACTCTGGGGTTGTGGCGCTCATCTAGCTTTACTGGCCGAGGGAGCCGGCATGTGGCCAGCATGACTAAGCTGCTTCTGGCGAACCAGAGTAGCACACAGAAATGCCGTTTACCTTCCCGCCGGAGCGGTACCTATTTATTTACTTGCACTTTGACGTGCTTTCGAACTGCTAGGTTGGCAGGAGCAGGGACCGAGCAACGGGAGCTCACCCCGCCGCGGGGATTCGAACCGCCGACCTTCTGATCGGCAAGTCCTAGGCTCTGTGGTTTAACCCACAGCACCACCCGCATCAATGATAGTACTCTCTGCAAATTTGATTAGGTTTAGGAAACCACATGCCCACCTCCCGGTTTATGCTGTGGGAGTGGATGAGAGTGGACACATGGGGCAAATGGGGTGCTGCCCCACCAACTTCAATCTGCCCTCAGTCTCCACCTGTTGACTTAAATCCAGTGCAATATTGGCTCTGTATGTAATTCAGCAGGGAGTAGGACTTCCCCCTAGCTGTTAAGCTCCACATTATATCCACATTACACCTGAGCTTTCACATGACGTAAAAGCCACTTCTGGAACTATCACGGAATACAGCTTAAGTTGGATACCCATTTCCGTGTTACTTGCATCTAGAGACACACTTCTGTGATTACTGGGTTTGTGGGCTAACTGTGCAGTTGCCTTAAAACTGTGGCTTCTGTTATTTATTTCAGTATTTATATTCTGCCTTCCTATGGAAAATATTTAAGGCAGAAACTCTCTAGTGATCCTGTTTGCAGGAGGGATTATATAGCAAAAAGGAACAGATAGGGCTAATTCATAGACATAAACTACATTTCATATCCTGTATGTGTAACCCATTGGAAAATACGATGGTGGTACTATTGTGCAAACTTCACTCAGTCAGCTTCTGTGCCATTCCATGAATGGAGCATCTTTTCCCCCCAGGGTTCCTAAAAGTGTAGTGTATCTCTCATGTATTGTTGTGGATATGCAGTCTTCAGATCTTACATTTTAAAATGTATTTATAAGAGCATATATAAAACCAATTATATTAAAAATATTACGGCAGCATAGATGAAAACCATTAAGTCATAAAATACCAAATGAACCAATTTAAAATGCATGGCGAAACAAAAAACATTTTCAGTAGGTAACGGAATATTACATTTGCAGGCGGGCAGATTTGAGGGTAAACCATACACAGCACGGGTCTGCCCTTGTGGCTCGTTGGAAGTTGAAACTGCTTCACATGTACTATTACGTTGTCGTCTTTACGAGGATATACGTTTGACTTTTATTACACCTGTTTTGCAAAAGTCCAGGAAAGAATCGGAACACCATAGTTTAAAACTACTGCTGGAGTACAAGAATCCCAAGACTACATTAAATGTAGGCAAATTCTGTGCGTCTGCAATTAATCGCAGGAAGCAAGTGGTATCCCATAATGACCAAACCCCTAAATGTTAATTACAGGGGGCACGCTAATAATTAATTTTAATTTTTTATATTTAAATCCTTGTTATATTCATATTGTCCTCTGTATTTCTGATTATTTTTTTGTGTGATCTGTGATATTGTGTGTGTTGATGCTGGTCTGTGACCGTATTAATAAATTCATTCATTCATTCATTTGCAGGTGTGTCTCTGATTCCAATACCAACAGGGCTCCAAAATACTGGTGCCATAATACTATAAGCCTTTACCTGCATAGAAACTAAATGAACACAAGATAACTGTGGGCCAGTTACAATGAACATGCAGAGGCTGCCACTGCAATGCATCTCTCTCTCTCTCTCTCTCTCTCTCTCTCACACACACACACACACACACACACACACACACACAGCTGCAAAAACATTCTCATTGTTCACATAAATAATGTGTGACAAGAGCTAAAAGCTTCTTGTGATCAGCTTAGGAATGCTGACTGATGCCATGAAAGCATGCAAGACTGCAATTCTATGTGCAATTAAGCATATTTAAAACCAGGTGTGCCTAACCCAACCTACAGTCAAGCTGCTACAGACAGAAATCGACCACTGTGCTGAAATATTCTCTGTATCAGGACTTCTGTACCAAAGTACAGTTAATAGGAATGCATTATTTTCATTTGTTATAATACACATGTGCATTTATTTTATTGCTGAAACCCCTACTAGACTACAAGTGTTTACCTAATCCGTGATTGACTATATGGAATTGGCAGAAATGACTGGCAGAATCCGAGACCAGGGAGAAGAGTCGGTGAAAGAGGACGGGAAGAAATTTAAAGACTATTTACAGAAATATTGTAAAATTAATGAATTTTAGAAGGATGTTGGATAGAAACTAAGTGGTTTCTAGCTGTAATGCTTTAAGAGACATGAAAAAAAAGATCTACAAATGGGTAAAAGCTTAATGGTAAGGATTTGCTGAACTAACAAATTGAACTGAAATACAAAGAAGGGAGGTACGAGGAGGTTCGGGGAAATAAGGGTAAGGAGGATATGTTTGGGAAAATTAATCTGTTTTTAATTGTTTTTATTTTGTATGTTCCTTTTTATTTTTCATGTATTTTTTTTCTGTACTTTGTATTTTCTTGTATTTTTATTTTTTGTTTTTACGTAATTTTTGTATTGTTTGAAATGTTAATAAATATCATTTAAAAAAAAAATACAAGTATTTACCTAATCCTTTCCCCCCCACACACACACCTGTGTTGAAAAACCAGACTTGTTACTTTGATCATTCAGCAGTAATTCCAATCATAGCAAGGAAACCAGCGTTTCTGTCCCCTATGATCGGAATAACTGGCTAGGGAGTAATCATCCAAAGAAATATCCTCCATATTATCTTGGGTGAACCTGCGTATCCCAGCATGAAGATGCATCAAAAGTAGTCTCAGGTAGATATACCTGGGGATGGTAATGAGAAGAATCTGTGGGGTGGTGGGGTTTTTGGGGGGGAGGGGGGATACTGCAGTGCCCAACTTTGAATCTGTCTTTTAAAAAAATGTGGCACGGTTCTTATTATCTTTTTATACCCAATAACCAGCTTTTCAAGCCTTTTAACAATGGATATTAGTGGTGAGCAGATAATATAGCACAAGAGGTTGACAACTTTCAGTTCACAGTAGAATTCAGAAAATGTACTCAAAACCAAGCACGCGGGGGGGGGGGGGGGCGGTTCGCAGGGTTGTATTTCCCATTTCAATGATCACACAATGAAGTGCACTCAGGATGAATCTGAATGAGATGCCCACTGCAGGGGGTTGGACTAGATGACCCCTGGGCCCCTTCCAATTCTATCATTCTACGTAATGCTTGCAAACATGACCCTGTGAAGCATCATACATTCCTTTTGGGACCATTTATGGAATCACTTCGGGCAAAGGCTCCCTTCAAACACAATGTGGGAGTCACTGCATACCCAACGCCACATCAAAGTGTGGTCATGCGTGTGCACACACGGGAAACACATAAGCAGCGCTAATGGGGTTGGGTCTCCCCAGGTGGTTATTGCTGTCCCTTTCACTGGGAACGTGGTGATCAGGCAGGAGAGAGCCATGCTTTCAGCCTCTCTTCCAAGCAGCTGTGAGAGTCACATGTACTCCCCAGTGGAACTGCAGCCCAGGGAAGCAATTCACAGGTCATTCTGGGTCCCCATGTGCGCTTTCTGGGAAGCTACCGTATTTTTTGCTCTATAAGACGCACTTTTTCCCCTCCAAAAATTAAGGGGAAATGTATGTGCGTCTTATGGAGCGAATGCAGGCTCCTGGCTTTGCTTCACTGGAGAGGCGCTGCACACTTTCCCTCTCTGCGCAGCGCCCCTTCAGCGAAGCGGGAGGAGAAATGGAAGGGCTCTGTTTCTCCTGGCGCTTCGTTGAAGGGGCGCTATGCAGAGAGGGAAAGAATTTTTTTTCTTGTTCTCCCCCTCTAAAACAAGGTGTGTCTTATGGTCGGGTGCGTCCTATAGAGCGAAAAATACGGTACTTATCTATTTTGGAGTCCACTTTTACGTAGTCTTACAAAGCAGCCTGGGATTTAAAAGCAGGTTCTGCCACCAATTATCCACCTTAAATACTAGGAATGTCAAGCAGCAATATAGTGAGTGTCTCTGAGCACATGCAGAATGCATTCTCACCCAATAAAGAGAATCACTTCCAACAGGCCTGTGTATAGTAGCAAGGCTTCTCGTCAGGCCTGAACCCAGGCACTTCTCTGTTGTAAACTCTTTATGCTCTACTCCAGGCTGCGTCAACCTCGGCCCTCCAGATCTTTTTGGCCTACAACTCCCATGATCCCTAGCTAGCAGGACCAGTGGTCAGGGATGATGGGAAGTGTAGTCTCAAAGCATCTGGAGGTCCGAGTTTGAGGAAGCCTGCTCTACTCTCAAAGGACCACACCAAAATATCATCATATTGGACTAGATGAGCCTCAGGGTCCCTTCCAATTCTACGATTCTTTGTGAAGCTAGATGATTATGTCCTTAAAGTCTCATGTTAAGCAATAAATAAGAATGTACCGTTTCACAGCCAAGTTCTTTCTAAGGATAGAGGCAACCGATGATTAGTTTTATTTACTTGAAACATATGTTCTGCAGTCTTCGCTGAACAGTGAGGACTCAAAAGTGATAAATACTACCAGAGGCTAAAAATTCATCCTTCCTCAGTCTATAACAAATCTGAGTCAACAGAATTCTAAGGCAAGGACAGGCAATGAGGGAATCTTATTCATTTATTTTCTTAAAATGCAAAAAGGAAAAAAGCAATTTGGTATATTAATTTAAACAGTGATCCTGGATGTTCTAATGAGAATCCAAGTGTGTCTCTGTTGAAAATATTTCTCCCTTTAAGAACTCAACTGCCTCGTCTTTCTTCAGTTTCTGGAATTCCTGATAATGAACCTGAACAGAAAAAAAGGAAGAATGAAATCATGTCAGTTTTCATCCGAATTACAAAAGACCTGTACGTTTTAGGTGATTTATAAAGAATAAAGCAGGAATCCTAATCTTCCACCTGGGAGTGGCAGGCCAGAGCCACTGTTGGATCCACAGCCCTGCCATTCACACCAGCCCCATTCTTTTCTTTGCCAGCACCAGGATTCACTGCAGAAGCTTTCGCTGGCTATTACCAGCAGAGAAATCACCATCTGCCCACCCATGCCCTTGGTGAGTGCGGCGGAGCCCCTTTACCAGTAGAGATGAGCTGGGCAGAGGAACACCTCTGTGGTAGAAAAGGGGCTTGGATTGCTCCATAAACAGCATAATCGTCTGCATGTGTACGCCCACGTTTCCAAAGTTCAAGAATTAATATATCAATTAATATATATATTTAAGCCACGTTCCAAACTAATATACCGTATTTTTCGCTCTATAACACGCACTCGACCATAACACGCACGTAGTTTTTAGAGGAGGAAAACAAGAAAAAAAATATTCTAAATGAAACAGTGGATGTATGATTTTTGTGGTTCATGCTGTGGCCACAGACATGTGATCTGACAGTGAGTTTGGAGTAGCCCAATGCAAAAATCCTGAGGATCCATGTGGATCCATGCTTTGTAACCACGTTTTAAGTGGGGAGGGAAGGAAAAGCACTCAAGGGACAAGGAGCATGCGTGGGGTGGGTGGAGAAGGATGCTGCTAATAATGCAGAAGAGGCGTTTAAGGGGAGAAGGAGCACGCGTGGGGTGGGTGGAGAAGGATGCTGCTAATAATGCAGGCGAGGGGTTTAAGGGGAGAAGAAGCACGCGTGGGGTGGGTGGAGAAGGATGCTGCTAATAATGCAGGCGAGGGGTTTAAGGGGAGAAGAAGCACGCGTGGGGTGGGTGGAGAAGGATGCTGCTAATAATGCAGAAGAGGGGTATAAGGGGAGAAGGCTCCTCTCCTCTCCCGCTTTGCTCCTTTAAAGAAGCAGGCTCTCTGTCCCTCTCTCCTCCCCACTCAGTGGCTCTTCTCCCGCTTTACTGTTTCAAAGCGAGCCACGGAGGAGGGAAGGAAGGGGAACCATGGATCCTCTGCTCACGACTGCAGCAGATCCCCCCCGCCACCCGCAGGCATTCCCTCCATAACACGCACAGACATTTCCCCTTACTTTCTAGGAGGAGTGTTATGGTGCAAAAAATACGGTAAATAATTTGCCTTTTTATTGTGAAGTTTAGGCAAAGCCTGCGAACACAGGCATTCGGGTATTTAAAATAAAAGTGCTTTTATCCAGAGACACAGATTAATACAAGCAGCTCCTCACTTGCGTGCATTCTGTTTGCTCACGACCACACACATACACGGTGCCAAGTACCCAGAAATGGGGAGCACCCTCAAAAGCCCTCCTGGCTCGTGAGGAGACCCTCCCTAGAGCCAAAAGTGGGCAGAGGGGCAGCAGGGCTTTGTTGAACTGCTCAGCCTCCCTGGCTAACAGCTGACAACAGCAGCCTCAGCCGTTTCCCCACCTGTCAGCCGTGCAAATATTAGGGGAAATAAACCAGAAGGACAGAGGCGCTTGGTTAACCAGCTCAGCTGACATGCTGGGAAGGTTCCCTGTGTGTTAGCTTTGCAGCCTCAACAAGCCTCTGACTCATGAGACACTGCCCAGGGCCCGAAGAGGATGCCTGGGCTTGCACAGTTAGGGGCAGGAGCCTTCAGGATCTGGGGAGGGTCTCTGCACGAGCTGGAGAGACAGTGGGATTTTCTCAGCAGACACACAGGGTGTTCCCCATTTTATGTGATTTGGTGTATACACACAGGGGCCTGGAATGTCACCCGTACCTTGTTTTGCTTTCAAATTTTTCTTACAGCCTGCCCGAGACTACTGAAATTAACAGAGTTCCAAGTTTTCTGATGGAGCAACATTTTGGCTTCCCTTACCAGAATCACGCGATAGCCCAGAAGACGCAGGTGTCTCATCCTCATGGCCAACCTCCCTCGGGAATGTTTGGACGCAAAACAGAGCGCGGACGCAGGAGCACACAGCACGGCTATCCTATTACCAAGAGAAGCAGTAATGATGTCTACGAAAGTCATGAACTTGGCCGCACTAGTCTGAAGGACACTGCAACTAACAGTGTACTGAAACAAGGATCACGGGGCAGAAGGCCCGTATGTGTGCGTGTTCAGTGACAATTACATTGACGCTTATTTTCTTTTTAAAAAACACGTCGCCACTTCTGACTCGCAAGGCACTCTTGAGAGTGTCCAGTGGGGGGTTATCAAAGCCTCACATTTTTGTTTTAGTTATCAAATTCCTTGCCATAAACTATCAGGTGAGCAAGTGCCTATGATCTAGTTAGTAAATACATTTGTAATACAAATACACCAGAAAATAAGGCAAAGTGTTTGTTATAGCTCTCCACTGAAATTATGTTTCCAGGACATTCTGACTAACCTCTTCACTAAAATATATGGACCACCCACCCAAATAAATTAACTCTTAATGTCTTGGAAGATTAAGAAAGCTAAACAGTTGAGGCTGGAAAAAGCCCATGAAATAAAAATGGAAAGAAACCCTGTCCTCAAGCTAAAGGTACCTTTGAATGTCAGACTTATCTGTCACTTCAGCATTTGGTATCACTATTCCCTTCTCTGCATCCATTAAGATTTCAAAATCTGAAAAAAAGGAAAATATTACATTCTTATAAAATAAATTGTTACAAGATTGCACTCTATTCAGGAATGTGCAGTAAAAAGAAAATGTGCAAACACTAGTGTTTTAGTAACAGTTATACCAAATATACATTATCAGGGCTATAAATTTTTACAGCCACTAATAAAGGCAAGTACAACTCTTGCAGCAGCCTGGGGAAAGGCAGGTTTAAATGGAAAGAAAGGGAAATTGCAGATATGAGCCAGAATCCAGCACACGCTGGATATTTTCCTCAGACCATGGAGTGGCGTTAATTTGTGCCAGGTGCAATTCAAGCATTTATTTCCAATGCCATGGTTTTATCCAGAAATGAAAGGTGCACAAATGGATAAATTGGCATTTTGGCATGCGCAACGCTAATATCTCTCACTGCTGAGAAAGGAATCAAAGAACTGTACTGCTGGAAGGGACCCAGAGGGTCATCCAGTCCAACCCCCTGCAATGCAGGAATCTCAACAGGACCCACACTCAGGAGGGATTTGGCAAAGGGCAAGAGCTTCCAAATGAGAAGGTACCATTTCCAGAAAGATCTGAGCCTCAGCTCCTCTCTGTCTGGCCCACTGAAATTAGCAGAAGTAACCCTCTCTCCCCACCAGATGACCTGCGTTCATCCTCATTTGCATGCGCAATTGTGGTGGTTAAATTATTTCTGGTCTTCTTTGAGCATCTGTTTTAATCTGTTTGTGGAGAGACGACACCATTCATGCTGATTATCTTGTGCGGTGTTTACTTGTCTTCCCATCAAACATTCATTTCGTGCCACACTTTACATTTCCTGGTCACTTTCCAGATTGCAAGAAGTCAAGATTCTTTGTTAGATTTGTTGTGCTAGGACAACAAACTGCTTTAATCTACTTTAATCATGCAACCGCAGATCACAACAAAGCTACTACTGGTAAGTTTCTGCTCAAGCCACTTTGCCCTCCTCAGTTTTCCGCAAATTGCCAGGCAGTAATTGTAATGCGCTCTCCCATACCTAGAGAGAAACCGTGAACCACTGGTACGTTTGCTCGAAACAGACTTTCATCTCCCAACAGTGAAAGCAGAACCTCCTTAACGTCAGGAAAACTAAAAGCAGGGGTTGATGGTAGTTCCTTCACCGATAAGGCTGCTGGCTTAGTGAAACAATTCCTATCGAGGTTTAAACAAGCATTTATGGTATGCAACATTACTTCATTCTGCTCTATATTCTGGCCATCTGGGGAAAACAAAAGAAACAGCAATATTATTTTCAAACAACCTTTACATACAGTTCTTCTGTAGCAGGAAAAGTCTTGATGAACCGTAGTTTAATATTTTTACATGACTTCATTGAAATAAACCTGCTCTAATGCCCTACAAGATAAACAAGTGGCTAGACCGCATGGTGGTATTCACCTAGGTTTTACTAGAGTAGAATCACTGAAATTAAGGTTCTACTCTGAGTAAAATTTAGGTGAATACCACCCAGAGGCTATAGGATACCTGGTCATCAGGTAGGGGGAAAGTGAGCAACTAGCACAGGGGAAGGAGGGGGATACTGCTTTATAAAAGAAGAGGTGGGAGTGTTAGAATTACTGCTCCATGACTGCAGTCATAGGATTGTTGTCTATCACCTGACGGTGTATGTTTTGACTCCACAAAGTGGGAAGTGATGGAGACAGGATGTTTGTGTTACTGTGTTCTGTGAAGTGGGACTATTGTCCTTTGTTCATTCTCTTTGCTGTCTGATGCTAGAGAGAGAGGGAGCCATGCTGCAGTGCTCCGTGTGTGTTTATATGTAAATAAAGTAGATTAGTCAAAATGCTGAGTTGCTGAGGTCTGTTACGCAAGCTGCGAAGACTCTGCGGATCCCTAAGTGTGCCGATGTCTGTTGGCATCGGTCGCTGTGATGTTCGGGCTGAAGAAAGCTTTTGAAGCTCCCGAACGATCGACCAGGAGGGAGAGAACATGCCAGTCGGGCATGTGTCTCTGCCAGGGTCCTACTCGAGTGTAGGACGAGCTCCTGACAGGGAGAACTGATTTATTTAAAAATCTGTTTAGACTGCTTATCTATAACAGTATCCAAAACAGCTTGCAAAAATAAACAACCCACCACAAAACAACACAGTGGCATCAACTGCAGAGTTACCACTATTCTACTGCATTTTACCTTGAGGTTTGCATTCTGGGGGAAATAAGTGATGTACAGTGCAAAGAAAAAAGGGGGGAGGAAGATTTGTGAGCCCAGGTCCAGTGGAGCTGCGGGTGGTGGCACTGAGGCAGAAAATAGTTGCAATAAACACAGGACAAACTGGGATTTAATCAAGCCCCAACATTATTGATTACAGGTGTCAGCAGGTTTTGGCGTGGGCACTGGGTGTGTATCCTGACTGCTGGTCGATTTGGCAGGGTTAACCAAGGTTAAGGATCGCCCTATGGCATAAAACAAATCAGGGTGACACCCGCCCCCCAAGATGACCATTGCAGGGTGCTGTGGCCCATCAGCACCCTATTTTGGTGTCTGGACAGAAGCACCTCCCACAGGATCCCTTTAAGGGGATACCCTGATCCCTAAGAGCAGAGTGGGGGGAAGCACACCCTGTCCAATTTAACTAGGGATCCAACCCAATGCCTTATCCCCCACAAAGCTGTGACAGTTGCTACGAGGGAGGCAAAATGCTAGTCTGATGGCAGGACACTTCCTGACCCCAAATACAGCGGCCGAGGACTTAAATAGCGAAGTCCTACACAGGGCTTGCCGGTGTATCCTTGGGCAGCCCGTAGGCATAAAGATTGGGAGGGTACGTGGGGGAATCCAGCAACGACTGAGGCTGAGACCTGGGCATGGCTGGCTTTTATCGCCAGGGACTGGACCAGCAGGAAGAAGTCTTCCATCTGGTCTGCTCCCAAACTGTGCCCCCTAGCTCGCCCGCAGTTGTGGGTGAGCTCCAGCAAGCAGCATGGCTGGGGGAGAAGAAAGCAATGTCCTCCCTCGGCTGCCCCAACTCACTGCACCAGACCACAACCGCCACCTCTCTCCAGCTGACGGTAAGTGTTCTTTGACAAAAAGCTTCTGATTTTTAGTCATCCAAATACCCATGGAAAACTACATTTTGTAGATCACTGAATTCCTGTTTTGTTTGTTGAGGCATCTGTCACCCAGATTAAATTATTTAACAATAATGTGGGGGGGGGGGGGAGTTCCATTGCGGAAACAGAAACTATTGTGCTTTGTTTGAGGCTACCCACAGTGGCAAATCAAGCACCCTAATGCGACAGAATAAAAACGCACTGGAACTTTCCTTGTTTCTTACGTGGGCACAGGGAAGAAAACTGCAAAACTAATATACCAAAGCACTATAAGCAGTTGTTTTCTGCTGAAAGCGAAGATGAGCATTTAATGCACTTTTTTATTATAGGACTAATTTAAGGAACTCTAAAACACAGTATTGATTTTGCAAACAAATAACACATTTCATTCACAATCTAAAGCTATGGCGTCAGCTTTCATTTAAGGAAGTATATGAGTCAAGATGAATATCTGACCTGCTGCTACCAGACTGTGGAGGGTTTCATCTACTAGAAGCTGCTTAAGTGCAGATTGGGGGAAGTATCCTAAAATGCAGAACGAATACACAGCTTTCAGTAAGTCCACATCAGAGATCTTGGGGAGATACTTATCCAAGACACTATTCAGTGCCTCTAGGAACCTTCAAAATGTGAGAAAAGAATACTGTCAAGCAGAAATTCATGATTTAATTAACAATATACTCTGCCTCACTACAGGTATAGAGAGCTATGTAATTAATAAACATGACTGGCTGACAAGACACAGATGCTACACACAGACACACAACGAGTTTTCATCTGATAGATACAAGTTCCCGTTTTCTAATGGAAATGCAATCTCCCACTGATTCCAGTGTACAAAGAGCAACTTAGTTTTCACAGCCTGTCCCATCTTATATATTTGTGAGTTGGTTTGCTCTGTACTAGAGTGGGGGCTTCTGTTTTAATATTAACTAGGTCCCAAATTTTGTTTATGTAGTCAAGTCACCCTAATTGCATCTTTTTATGTGATATGATAGTCCCATGACAATGTAGACACTTCTAAGAGGCAGACAGTCCTATATGCCTTTAATTTTATGTATCAATCATAGGAAATACAGTTTTGTACACCAGAGGCACCCTCAGCCATTCCTGAATCAGCCACTAAAATCCACACAGAGCTGATTCATACGAAGGTTCCATTCCTAGCTGCGATTGGTTATAGGCACAGCCAATGGTCTTAGCCCAAAATATCTGGAAGGAAGGCTGGCCTAAGCCATCATGCCAATGTCCATCACATTTGAAGCATTGGATAGGTTAATTCTGTGGCAAATGATGATAGTGCTATCTGGGCTAAATTTCTCCATTAGCTACCATGTAATACAATAATAAACGTTCTAAGCCAGAACCTACTCCTGATTTTGGCTTTTGGGGGTGTGGTTGAGAGAAGAATAGGCTCGCAGAACAGTCACAAGATCCTTCATGCTTAAGCATTCAGGATCGGACGTCACTTTCTCAGCAAACGCATCCATCAGATCAACGGGTCGAAAGCCAACATTCTCAAAGGCAGAAAGAAACAGGACTACCTGAAATCAAAAGAGAAGTCAGCATAATATGCATATATCAAGCGCGCTACTGAGACAACTGGGCTGAAGACTTTTCTTAATATAAAACTATATTCAGCTGAAATATGTGTAACTGAAACAAATGCACATTCTTGCCCAGCTTATGGCTTCCTTAATTTCCCACCACCTCCTCTGCTGTGCCCCCTGTATCTAATTTTAGACAACCCCCCCTTCATTTTGGAACATCAGATTAAAGATGCAATCCTAATGCCAGTTGGCAGCAGTGCTCACACTGGCCAGGACAGGTTGCGGGGTGGAGCGAGGAAAAAATGTCCCTAGCTGACACAGCAGAGAGGCCAGGATTGCTCACGCTGCCCTCATAAGATGGAAGCAGAAGATCACGTGGTGGCTCAATCCTGCCTCATGTCGGGGGGTTTCCACAGGCTACTGCTGTCAGCAAGACCACGGGAGGTGGCTTAAACCCACCTGCCTCTTGGGTGGGTACACTGGGGCACTCCTTGCTGGCAGGACTTTCCTGCTGATGCCAGACCTCCCTCACTCGCAGAAGCAGACTGATCAAGGGTTAAGATTGCTCCGCAAAACAGCACTGCCAGTAAACACAATCTGGACTAGATTACTGCAATGAATTGGATTACTGTCAGGTTGCCCTGGTGAATCTGGTGTCTGGGCCTCATTATTCAGAGTTGGATTATCTTCAGAGTTAGATTATCCCAGCAGATATTGGCCATGTTTGCAGGTAACAAAAAAGGTAAAGGTAAAGGGACCCCTGACCATTAGGTCCAGTCGTGACCGACTCTGGGGTTGTGGTGCTCATCTCGCTTTATTGGCCGAGGGAGCTGGCGTACAGCTTCCAGGTCATGGGGCCAGCATGACTAAGCCACTTCTGGCGAACCAAAGCAGTGCATGGAAACACTGTTTACCTTCCCGCCGGAGTGGTACCTATTTATCTACTTGCACTTTGTGCTTTCGAACTGCTAGGTTGACAGAAGCAGGGACCGAGCAACGGGAGCTCACCCTGACGCAGGGATTCGAACCGCCAACCTTCTGATCGGCAAGTCCTAGACTCTGTGGTTTAACCCATAGAGCCACCCGCATCCCTAACAAAAAGCCACAGCTAATGCAAATCAAGGTTTATAAGCTTCTTCGTGGTTAATAAACCATGGTTAAACTGCTGGGTCAGGTTTGGACAATCCAATAAACCAGTTTAATAAACCATGCCTTAGCATTACATGTAAATCAAAATGCTGAGAAGTTAACGCTTGAATGAATGTAGTTTGAGAACTACAACTACTGAAGTCTACAGCCAGCTCCATATTGGCATCGATTTTCTATTTAAAATGCCAAAAATGTGCAAATTAATATTGTTATCCCAAAGTTTACCTGCTTTGTGTCCCACATATAGAAGACGGATGCTGCATAATCCGCTATTGCAGAACAAAGCTTGCTGTTGCGGTACAGGAGGTCTTTGCAGGACCTCAGAATATTCAGCAGACGCCGGAAGGGAGTTCCAGAGATATTCTCTGATACACACACAAAAATAAAAATGGAAATTCCACTAACTGCATTGAAGTAACCCTTGAGATGGAAGTATGTATTTCATTTGTTAAAAGAAATGTCACCTAAAATCACAGCAAAACATAAAGGTAATGGAACCAAGGAGCTGCTTAAGATAATAAAAGGGACCAGAGATAACCCAGGAGTTTTTTGATATTCCTCCTTTGAACAGCGGAAGCCATGCCATACAACAAACCGTTCTCAAAACATTCCTCTGTTGCAAATTCTGCTTGTCATGTGATAGTGGGGGCTGCAGTTACAAAGTAAATTGAGCCCACCCACTACACACTTGGACTCACAGAATTAGCTGCATAGTTCCTTGGATCCTGGTCCATATTATTTTGGACCAACCCTCTCAAACCATGGCAACTGGACAGATTCAAACAGAGTATACCTACATGCAGAGTTGCAGAGAACAGTTCTCCTTTGACTGTCCCAAATCCCTGTTTCTCTCTTCTTCTTGTGTTCCTTGACAGATGGCTCTGCTCTCCATACATTCTTATTAAACTGTTGTCCTCCTTTAGTTTAAGCAAGATTTTTTTAAAAAAAAATTAAAGACAAAAATTCTTACATTCTTTCTGACTTACCTATTATTTTGTTACTGCAGGCATTCAGGATTGGAACAGAGCGGTAATTCATTTCAGCCAGCAAGGTGAACATGTGCTGAGCATTTGGGACAGTAAGTTGGTCTATGTGATACAAAATCTTGTTCTGAAGCAAAACAGATTTGAATGAGACAGAAATATCATTGTCCTAATATGCACAATTTGTATACGGTGTCTGTTTGATAATGTGTGGTTTGCTATGCCTAATAAAGGATATTTGATTTGAATTTATTTAAAGACCCCTGTAAACGGTTAAAATCATTAGCAGGGATGTAATGACACTTGTAATGTGGAATTGCTTATGAAAACCATGGATATTTAATAGATGGATAAGGGTAAAAAATGCAGCAAATTTAATCTTAAACATGGAACCCATGGAGGGAGGGAAGGGGGTCCGAAGGTTCAAAAGAACCTTGTATTTTAATGTTTGAAATGGTTAAGTTAAAATGTATAAAACTGTGAAAAAACCAATCATTTTTTTTTAAAGGAACAGATATCTATATCCAATTACTTATCAGTTTTCCCCTTTCTTTCTACACCGAGACTGCAAGAATTAGTTGCTTTCTTTCAAAATGGTTGAAAAAGGAACACCAGAGCTTCAGGCAATATTGCATTTACTTGTGTTGTGCAGCTGCAATTACGAGGGTTAATATGATATGAAATAAATGGATTATTTATATTACATGATACCACTCTCAAAACCCTCAGAACAATGGAAGCCTTTTCCTCCATTGTTAAAATGTGTTGTGGTCTGTAGGATGTGGCTGTGTGGGAATCATATTGGGGACTGCTTCTAATACAAGCTTCTAGTCGTAGAATGACTTACATACCTCTTCCTTTACCTAATGCTGTGCCAGTGGTGTTTTGCTTGTGAAACAGTATTTCCATTTCCTCTCCCCCTGTGCGCCCCCAAAATCTTTCCCAGTTGGTCTCCCACCCCTCTGGCATGGGTTTTGAGGATGTAAGCAGGCTGGAGGGGACAGGAGTGGAAGAGGAAGCTCTGTTGCACAGAGGAAGTCCATTATGCAAGCAGAGCTGCAGCAATGGTTATGGCCCTATACCTGGATTCACTGAATAAATAACTCCCATTTTTTACCTCCAGTTTTGTCTTAAGCTTGAGTGGTGCATCCTTCCCAAGACCCTTCATCATGTTTTGCAACATAAGCACATTTGAGATTTTGGGGATTCTCTGCTCGACCAGTAATCTGTTTTTTTGAAAAGAGCAAGGGATTTAATCAGCTTAGGAAAAGAACGTGACATGGGCAGAAGCATACAGGACAGTTAACAACAACAACAACTTATTTCTACCCTGCCTTCTTCTTGTGACAGGGACTCAAGACGGCTTACAGACAAAATAAAAGCATTTAAAAACATAGGGGTGGGAAATTGCCCAAAGACTATAGAAACTGGGCAGCTTCACACAAGAGAATACAATCTTTCAGATTGCTTAGACCTAAAACAGAGGGCTTTATAGGTTGTAACCCACATTTTGAATTGTGCCCAGAAACAATTAGTAGCCAGTGCAGCTGTTATAACAAGGGAGTTGTATGTTCCCTGTAACCAGCCCCATTCAACAATCTGGCTGCAGCTCTTTGAGCCAGCTGAAGTTTATGAGCACTTTTCAAAGGCAGCCCTACATAGAGTGCATTGCAGTCATCCAAATGGGATGTAACTAAGGCGTGTGTCACCATGACCAAATCAACATCTCAAGGAACGGTCGCAGCCAGAGCATTCGCTTCAACTGTGTGAATGCACTCCTGGCCACCAAAGAGACCTGGAGCATCCATGCTCAGAGCTGAATCCAGGAGCCTGCCCAAAGCGCAAACCTGTGTCTTCAAAGGGAGTGTTACCCCATCCAGCACAGGCTGAATTCCCTGTTCGGCCTTCCAACTGACCAAGGGCACCTCTGTCATGTCTGGATTAAATTTCAATTTGCTCACTCTCGTCCAGTCCATTAAGGATGACAGACACAGGCTTAGAACCAAGACAGTTTCCTTGGATTTAAGAGGAAATGCCTTTTAAAAATGGCAATATATGAATGTGGCATTTTAGATGTCATATACTCTCCATCAGAAAGGAATCATTTTGTTTCTGAAACATTAAGAGAGAAAAAACACATTACTGATCTTAAGTGGGGGACTGGTATTGTGCTTGCCTTATCTGTTCCCAGGCATCGCCACCTGATCATATCACACACTGTAAGTTAAAGAAAGAACAGTTATGTAGCTTCGGGTTGCTCCTGGATCCATTACTGTCATTAGAGGCCCAGGTGAGCTCTGTGACAAGGAGGGAATTCCAAAACTTGCTTGGTATGTCAACTATGCCCTTTCCTGGACAGGGATGGCTTGGCCAGTGTGATCCATATACTGGTGACCTTACAGCAAGGTTTTTGTAATTATTATCAATTACAAGCATGATGCCTATTAGAAGTCAATGTATTTTTTTTCCTTACTGCAATCCAACTTGAAGAGCTTCCACATTCTTGGACTTTTCCATTCCTTGCAAAGTGTTTGCAACAACTGAGAGACATCGGTCATCAAATTCATTGAGACGTTCCTATTCAATGCACAAGAAAACCCGGTTTTCAGCAATCTTTCACGTAAAGGGAGCACGTCTCCTCAGAGGTACGTCTGAGAACTGCAGCCTCAAGGACAGTTATTCATTCCAAATTTTACCATTTAAACAAATATTAAACAAATGCATTTTCAACTCCAGCTTTACCATGACTCAATTACGTCGAATTAACAAAGTGTACTTGTTTGGTGCGATTACTCCTTATTTACTGTTGTGTTCTTCAAAGTGTAAGTATGGCAATTCTTACAATGTGGAAATTCCCGTGTGCAAAATGTGCATTAAGAAGTTAACAGGAGCCTTCAGCAACACCCTGTCCACCAGGAGGGCTTGCCACGCCTCTGATGGTCTGTGTATCTGGCAAGTTTCTACTGCTATGGGGAAAGAATCACAAACATGCAGTGCCACATCACCACCTTGCATTTTTCACAGGGCTGCTATGCCAACGGCTATGTGGTTCTCTCATTCTCCTTAAAGAGCAGGTGGAGAACAGAGTTCACAAGACTGTGTGCCTCAGAGGTAACAGATAGGAGAGTTGGAAGAGGAATGAGTGTTAGGGCTGCTCTATGACCTATTTTACCCAATTATGAGAATGTATGTGGGAGAACTTTGAAAACCAAAGTATTCATTATAAAATCATTAGTTTAGCTTGCCAGATGAATGGCCCCATTGACAAGTCTGGAGCTCAATTCACTACTATATACCGTATTTTCCACTCTATAGGACGCACCGGGCCACAAGACACACCTAGTTTTTAGAGGGGGAAATCAAGAAAAAAAGCCTGTCCGCTTCTCCCAGAGCTTCTCAGGGCTGCGGGGGAAGCCCAGCCCCCCCCCCCCAGCCCCAAAGAGCAAAGAAGCCAAGTCAGCGAGCGGAATCCATCCCGCTGTCTGTCTGGGCTTCTGCCATAGCCGCGCAACCTCTCCAGCCAGGAGCTAAACCTCTCCAGTACGGCTAAAGAAGCGTGGCTAAAGAAGCCAAGGATTCCCGCTCACTGCCATGGCTTCTTTAGCCTTGCGCAGCCTCTCCCAGCTGGAGAAGCTGCACGCGGCTATGGCAATTCCCCCACCTCCCGCAAAAGCACCCTTTAAGGAGCGCGCGGCTCCTGCTGGCTTTTCTATGAGGAGGGAGAAGGGACTGACTGGCGCGAAGCTTATGTGCGGCTCTTGGGGGCTTTTCCTGCCTGCCTCCCCCCTGCATTCGCTCCATAGGACGCACAGACTTTTCCCCTTAGTTTTTAAGAGGGAAAAAGTGTGTTCTATGGAGCGAAAAATACGGTTTCATCCCTTATGTTCAGTGCAAGACTATAGAATTTCTGTGACTTACCTGGCATACCCTCAGCAAGGTCTGAACCAACCGGGTGTTCTGTGGGACTCCCAGTTTCACCACAGCTAGCAGGCTGTATGCCAAGTCATCACGCCACATGTACTTGGCCTCCTGCATCACACACTGACAGACCTGGCTAAACTGAGGGTGCTCAAACATCAACCGTCTCTCATAATGTTTCTGATCTTCCGAGAGCTTTTTTGTGAGCGTCCACATAGTGGCAAGACAGTTACTGGCGTACTTTGGAGCATCTGGAAATTTTGAAGCCAGGTCTAGTACATCACTGGGAGATGTACATTTTTGAAGGTCCTTAAAGAATTGCTGGGGCATGTTTTCTTCATCCTTTTCTTCCGCTGTACTTCTGACTTCCTTTGGGGATCCCAAGAAACCAGATGGAAGTTGGGTGGGTGCAACAGTCATTAGGTCAGGGCCTTGCACATGGTCATCTAAGAGGGCATCAGCAGTTTTCTGTTCATTTGCACTGGTACTGTCTGTATTAATACTTAGGGTACCTTGAGAAAAAAATCTAACAGATGATTGCAGCCGGCAAGGAGATGCATAAGACAGGAGTCGCCTCGGGTAAATACTGTGTGCAGCACTTTTAGGCCCATCAACCCCCAGTGCAAATGCTCTCCTTGTGGTTCGAGAAAAAGGACTCTGTGCATAATGACATGCCTGCAGCTGTCTCACTGTCCTTAGAAAACAATCCAGGTTCTTATTCATTTTGCTCTTTAGTGCTTTATGATGACTTGTTCAAAGAAAACAACTTCATAAAATTCTCAGAACACAAATAAGGCAGTCAGGAGTAGGTCGTGTAGATTACCTGTTAAATGAATTCAAAATGGTAGTTTCATGAACATAATACACTTGCAATATTACCATCAAATGTACACATACTTGGTGCAGTGTGTGTGTGTGTGTGTGTGTGTGAGAGAGAGAGAGAGAGAGAGAGTATATATATATGTGTGTGTGTGTGTGTGTGGTGGTTTTATATTTTAATTTTCTTCTGTGAACCACCCTGAGACCTCCAGGTATAGGGCAGTACACAAATATATTATTATTATTATTATTATTATTATTATTATCAAAATCACTCTAAGAAAAACACAATCACATATTAAATGGATTGATCTTTTCCCAACACAGAGGGGTGCCCTATTGTAGCTCTGATCCAAATGCGAGAGAAAGGAAAACTGGCAGGAAGACTCAACAAACTTGGCACCAGACCAGGCAAATGAGACATGGACACTCCACTCCCATGTAAACCAAATTCAACATTTTGGGAGCGTAGAAGAGAAAGAGAAGCCTTAGTTGCAGCATAGGCCACACCTTGGTGTAATCCATAATAGACCCAGGCCACGCGCCTCCGCTCCCCCCCCTCCCCCTCAGGAACCGCCAGGGGACGCGGGTCCGGCGCCGCTCTCTCCGCCTCTCCCTCACCTGCCGAGGTCTCCTCACATGGGCGCCGCCATCGCGCTAGGCTGGCACGTGACCCGAGCCGGCGAGTGAAGTGGGCGGGGTGAGACGGGGAGAGAAAGGAAACAAGCCTCCCTTGAACCTACGGGTGCCCGGAGCGGACAAAATGGCCTCTTCCGGCTCGGTCAGGCTGTGCGCGCCTGGTTGCCTGGCAACCGCCCCGCTCTCCTCCGGCCTAGCTCCCGAGGCGCCCGCGCGAAAACACACACCTGTTGTTGTTGGGGTTTTTTTTGGGGGGGGGGATGGCCAAATTCGTGCTCGCAGGTGAGGCGGCGGCTCCGCCCCGCCTTGCAGTCTCCCTGTCTGTCTGTGTCTGTCTGTCTGTCTCTCTCTCTCTCTCTCTCACACACACACACACACAAACACAACGTCCTGCTCGGGTTTCGTAGGGCTGGGTTGGCTCGCGCCCCCTGAGCATGCACAGAGTGCTGCACTCCCGGCAGTCGCTCTGGGATGAGGAATGAGTTTGCCGGGCGAGTCGAAGCAGCTCCATCAAGCAGGAATAAAGAAAGAGGAGGCTGCTTCCCTCACCTGTGCGTCCACGGCACACCCCTCTGTATTAGGAAGCGGAGCAACCCAGTTAATAGACGATTGTGTTTTTCTTAGAACGATTTGTTTTTATTATTATTATGGTGTGTGTGTGTGTAGTAAATAATAGGGGCCATCTGCCTTCCCTGGAAAGTAAGCAGGCAGCAAGTATTCATAAGCTTGTGAATATACCGGTATATACTGTATTCACTCCTTTGACTTCACAAGCTTATGAATACTTGCTGCCTGCTTACTTTCCAGGGAAGGCAGATTGCCCCTATTATGCTGAGGCGGATGGAGATTATATATATATATATATATATATATATATATATATATAATATATAAATATAATGTGTATATATATATATATATATATATACACATATATACATATATATAATACATATATATTATATATTATACATATATATTATATTATATTATATATATATACCACCTTCTTTCTCTGGCAGGACCTCAAGGCAACTTACAGATAAAAATAAGAACAGCTAAAAACATGGCAAGGGCAGGGAAACAACAACAAATAAGGAACAATTTAATCTTAACAGAATTAAAACTCTAGTACAGTGATCGCCTTTCTGCCATTAATGACACTGTGACTAATTTTCATTTTGTACACCTCAGTTTCACTGGATGCTTCTGAGCGCCTGCTAATGTTTATTTGTTCATTCATTAGGATGGAGCAGGAGCCCCATTGGATCCATGAAGGGGACATGAAGCCACAAAGATCTGGCCCTATTTCTGTCTAGGCCAGTATCCTGCCCACCAGGTGTCTCTGGGGAAGCCTGCAAGCAGGACTCAAGTTCCCTTCCTTCCTGCTTGCAATTCCCAGCAGCCGGTGCTCAGAGGCATACTGGTTGCCTCCAGCAGTCGAGGGAGAGCATTGTGGCTAGCAGGCCCTGATCACCTACCTCAGCCCTCGGCTAATTTGCCCAAACTCCTTTTCATCTAAACCCCTCTAGCCGTCGCTACATCTTATGGCAGGAAATTCCGGGAGTTGACTCAGTAGAAACTTCCAGAGCGGGGTGCATGGAAGTCGTGCTTGGGGAAGTAATGCACTCTTGCTCTGCCCCGGTTATCATCCCCCTTTGCAATAAGCGTTCGCTCCTTTGACTTCATGAGCTTATGAATACTTACTAGCTTTCTTACTTTCCAGGGAAGGCAGATTGCCCCTATTATGCTAAGGCAGAGCTCCTTGCTGATTATTTGCAGAAAAATCTGCCTCACTTCAGGATACACAAGATTACTCAGCATCCAGACAACTGGGAGGTAATATATATCCATGTGATTCACTAGTGCAGTAATGACGCCTCGCAGGGCTGGTCCTGTCATTAGGGATAGTGAAACATAGTGATTATGTTTTTGTAAAAGATGTTAATTTATGGTTGGTGGTGTTAGCCATCTTGACCTTTTAATCAGGGAAGGTGGGGTACAAATATTTTACATAAATATGTGATGTGGGCAAACCTGTAATGGCCTGGTATTTCTCTAGCACACTTATGCTCCCTAGATGGAAGTGTATAAATGGACAAGCACCGACTTATATGGGCACAGTGCCTCTGTTGACCCTTTTGGGGATATATTTCTATTTCTTTTGCCTTCTTTCTATTGAAAAATTATAGCCTGGGTGCTGAAGGAGGCTCTTGGTTGAAGTGTTTGAAATCCTGCCCACTAGTGGATGCATCTGTATATTTGACTAGCATGCTGCTTTGCTAAAAAGTGTGTTGGCTAAAGCTTTCTTAAAATTTCCTGAAGCAGTACTGGTCCACACTGGTCCTTTCATACATTCAAGCAGACATCGGTCTGCATTTTTTTCCTCACTGCAGCTTCCAGTTCAATGCACTTGCTTGCAACTAATCCATAAGTGCCTTATTAATGTATGCATTCAAATTAGCATTAGATGCACAGGTACAAAATGTATGAGCCTGTTATAAAATATGAAGGGAAAGTGTTTGGGCACATCATCTTGGGAAATTACTGTTTCAGTATTGCCTTGAAAGCTTTTTCTGGATTTAAAACGTTAACAACACTTTTCATGCTTGCTTTTGGGGATTTTGCTTTTAGAAGTGGCTGCAGGAGATCTGTGAACAGAATGGATGGAAACATAAGCGCTCTCCAATTATTTGGAGGGAATTGTTGGACCGTGGAGGAAAGGGACTTCTTCTGGGAGGATTCAATGAATTCCTTGAACACGCCCAGGTCTGCTTCTTCTTCTTCTCTTCTTGTCTCTACGCTTAGTGAGTATTCAGTTGGCTAAATAATATCCCATCTCCCAACAAAATACTACAATCAGAAGAATGCTTGTGAGAGAGATAGTAAATGCGAATTTATATTACTTTGTAACCACACTAGAATCACACTCAAAGACCATAAGATCTTTTAATGGACTTCCAACCTCCTTCAGCCCTAAGCAGCATAGTCTGTGGTTAGGAATGGTGGGAGTTGTAGTCTAGTCCAACAACATCCAGGGACGGACACAAGTTCCCTATCCATGTCATAAGGAGCTTGGAAAACCTACCATAATTAGAGAGAAGTTTTGATTACTGAGGACACAGGGAAAGGGCAACGAGGAATGAGTTCGGGCTTAATTTGATTATCAGGAAAGTATTCCTAAACGTAGGGATTGACTATGGCAATACTGCTACTGCAATGGACTGGCCATGGTAATGGTAATGGTACTACTATATTCTGCTTTGATCAGAACCCACACAGTTTAATTTAGGAAGGATATCAACAAACTGAAGCATGTCTAGAGGGCAGCAATTGTGAGGAGCTTATATTGCAATAAATATCAAGATCAAGTCCTGCGAGGAAAGGTTGTAGGAACTGGCTGTGCTTAGCCTGAAAAAAAGATTACTGAGAAGCAAAATAGTAGCCATTTTCAAAAATAAGGTCCAGTGCCGAGGGCCTTCTGGCAGTTCCCTCGCTGTGAGAAGCCAAGTTACAGGGAACCAGGCAGAGGGCCTTCTCGGTAGTGGCACCCGCCCTGTGGAATGCCCTCCCATCAGATGTCAAGGAAATAAACAACTACCAGACTTTTAGAAGACATCTGAAGGCAGCCCTGTTTAGGGAAGCTTTTAATGTTTGACGGACTATTGTATTTTAATATTTTGTTGGAAGCAGCCCAGAGTGGCTGGGGAAACCCAGCCAGATGGGCGGGGTATAAATAATAATTAATAATTATTATTATAAATATTTGAAGGACTGTCACACTAATGATAAATCACATTTGTTTTTTGTTTTTGTTGCTCCAGAGGGTAGGAACCAAACCAAATAACCTGAAAAGTATTTAGACTAAACATTAGAAAGAACTTCCTGATGGGACAAACTGTTTGATAGTAGAGGCTGAATGGTTGCTGTAGTACTGTAGTGGGTTACTTGCTTCAGGAGGGGTTTGGACTAGATTCCTTTTGAGGATCTTTCCAGCACCAATGATTTGATGATGATAGTAAATTATTATTTCTCTTCTACCAAGATACTTGGAGCATCCATCACAGATGGAACTTAATGAAGGATTTCCCTATTCTGTCCCTTCGTTCCTCTCCCCTCCCGCAAACACACACATTTTTTTAAAAAAGGTTTTGTTCTTCAGATTTTTGATTAAATGGTGATAATGTCTGAGCCATATTTGGATGCCTGCTGATGACTCTTTTTAATCTTCAGCAATACTATAACATCACATCCGACATGATGACTGAGCAGATGCTCTTAATAGCCAAGGAGAACTTGCAGACCCACATAGTGATTGACCAAGAGGAGGAAGAACTTAAAGGCCTTATTAATCCATTACACATTTGGATAAACAGGTGGGAAAGATGAAAATAAACTGCATAGGGAATCTCAAAAACTTAAGTCTGATCCTTTTCTTTTTAAACAATGCAGCTGTCAGGGGACCTGGAAAATTAGCAGAATCCGGAACCTGTACATGACTGAACACAGTCTATGCTTGTAACACAAAGATCCACATTTGTATATATGAGCACTTACAGCGCAGACCATAATTCCCATTTTTAATTTTCCAACTGCAGTGCCTTGCATTTCATCAAAGATCTCAACATTTCATCAAAGATCCCTTACCTTTCCCGCCCCGACCTGGCCACGGTGATCCATGTGACGGTCACCTCCAGGCTTGACTACTGTATTTCGCTCTACGTGGGGCTGCCCTTGAAGCTGTCCCAGAAACTCCAGTGGGTGCAGAATGCTGCAGCGAGACTCCTCACAGGGTCCCTGCCATGGGAGCATATTCACCCAGTGCTTTACCAGTTGCACTGGCTCCCAATGGAGTATCGAGTCAGGTTTAAGATGCTGGTTTTGACCTTTAAAGCCCTTTGTGGTTAAGGGCCCTCGTACTTATGGGACTATCTCTCCTGGTCTACCCCACAGAAGACCTTAAGGTCCATGAATAATCATAGTGTAGAGGTCCCGGGCCCTAAGGAAGTTAGATTATCCTCCACCAGGGCCAGGGCCTTCTCAGTGACTGCTCTGACCTGGTGAAATGCTCTGTCCCATGAGACCAGGACCCTGCAGGATTTAACTTCCTTCCGCAGGGCCTGTAAGACAGAACTATTCCTCCTGGCTTTCAATTTGCTCCTGCCAACCTAGCAGTTCGAAAGCATGTCAAGTGCAAGTTGACAAATAGGTACCGCTCCGGCAGGAAGGTGAACAGCGTTTCCGTGTCCTGCTCTGGTTCACCAGAAGCGGCTTAGTCATGCTGGCCACATCACCCGGAAGCTGTACGCCGGCTCCCTCAGCCAGAAAAGCGAGATGAGCGTCGCAACCCCAGAGTCGGCCACGACTGGACTGGACCTAATGGTCAGGGGTCCGTTTACCTTTACCTTTAGCCACCAAGCCGTTCCTCAGAGCTTCCTTGACAGTGAACTGTCTGATGCTTCCACTTTTATCCATTCTGACTCCTTATGTCCACCCCCTCAACTTCCTTAATCTCTACTTTCTTTCTGGTTTTAGTTTTGACTTACTGGAAAGCAGTCCTATAGGGTACAGCCATAGGTACAGCCGATCCCCCCTTCCACCCGCAGAGTGGGAGATCCTTGGGAGACAAAGAAGGCCTCCCTTCATGAGCTTTCCTGCTGTGGGAGCGGAAATCTCAGCTAATGCAGTAACAGCAAAAGGGGTGTGTGCCAGTGGCAGACCAGAGGAGGCTTGGGGTCCACTGGATCCAAAGACCTTATGTCCCCGCCCCCCCCCCGCCCCCCGAACGGAGGTTGAGAAAAGTGCACCAGCCCAGGATCTGGAATACTGATTTTCCCACCGTGAAAGGAAAGTTTTTTATGTTGCACACTGCCTTGCTGTATTTTCTATGAATGCACGATTGTTAAATATTTACATAAAGAAGCAAACAGCAAGCGGCAGAAAGGAGAGAGGAGAGAAAATGGCAGAGCCACAGTCCTACCTGCCCCACACTTGGCTTGCACAAGTCCAGCAGGCCTTTAGATCTGACTGTTCAGCAGCCACAACTCCTCCCTCCCCTGACCTAGTCCGTTAATGTTTTTAAGCAGCTTTTCCTGCATTCTCACTGCAGAATTGCTATGGAATGACTGTTGTTGGGGGGCTCAATCTCAGTAGTCTATCAGCCTATGTGATTGTTAAGTCTTCAGTGTTAAGTTGTTGTTGTTTTAATAAAAAAGTAAATAAAATAAGTAGGTTATAGTTTAGAAAAATCAAACAGTTATGCAGTTAAATTAATGTAGTCTTTAACCACATAACTTAAAAATAATTCAGCTTCAATGCCTGCTGTTAGAAGATTATGTCACTAGATTTCATGGCAAGGTATCCTTGTTCATTTCTAATACAAGCACTAAGAGTTGATTACTGAGGACCATGAAAACCTGTAGAATAAAAAGATTTTTTGGGGGGGGAATAGCTCTCTTCTGCATAAAACCAGTGTTTGTTTGTTCATTGCTAACTACTTTTCTTATCTTAACAGAGCATCAGCTAGTATCTGCTATCATCTGATCCCTTTGTTAATCAATGGGGAAATATTTGGAATGGAAACTGAGATCAGCCTCCACTTGCTTGACAGAAAGGGCTGCGAAGAACTTCTTGAAGCTATCGTTATGGAGACTGAGGACTTGGCATCCCCTGTCCTTCGTGGCATCACTTTGTACACTGAACTGGACGACCAGACTTTTCTCGAAGCTGAAGTCATCATTTTGCTTGATGACGTCCTTCAAGAGGCAATCCCGTCTCTTGAAGAATGCATCCAGCAAGTTACCAATCAATGTGAAATATATGGTCCTCTGATAGAGAAGAACGCCAGAAGTAATGTCAGGGTTGTTGTGATGGGGAAAACCTTTGTCAACCTTAAGGCATTGATGCTTATTACACATGCTCCGTCCATCAACCCTCAGAATATCGTCACTGTATCCCTGCTCTTGGAAAATGAAGCCAAGGCCATGCTGGCAAGAAAAATGGGGATGCATCCAGCAGGTGTGTAACAAATGATTGCAGATTGACTAATGATTATTTAGTTATTTTGGATTGTTATATTGTCTTAGAATCATAGAATCATAGAGTTGGAAGAGACCACAAGGGCCATCGAGTCCAACCCCCTGCCAAGCAGGAAACACCATCAGAGCACTCCTGACATATGGTTGTCAAGCCTCTGCTGAAAGACCTCCAAAGAAGGAGACTCCACCACACTCCTTGGCAGCAAATTCCACTGTCAAACAGCTCTTACTGTCAGGAAGTTCTTCCTAATGTTTAGGTGGAATCTTCTTTCTTGTAGTTTGGATCCATTGCTCTGTGTCCACTTCTCTGGAGCAGCAGAAAACAACCTTTCTCCCTCCTCTATGTGACATCCTTTTATATATTTGAACGTGGCTATCATATCACCCCTTAACCTCCTCTTCTCCAGGCTAAACATGCCCAGCTCCCTTAGCCGTTCCTCATAAGGCATCGTTTCCAGGCCTTTGACCATTTTGGTTGCCCTCCTCTGGACACGTTCCAGTTTGTCAGTGTCCTTCTTGAACTGTGGTGCCCAGAACTGGACACAGTACTCCAGGTGAGGTCTGACCAGAGCAGAATACAGTGGCACTATTACTTCCCTTGATCTAGATGCTATACTCCTAGTCTTGCCTCAGGGCAAATCATGTTAAGCAAATGAAAAAATAAAAATAACATAGAAGCACACATCCATACTAAAACCCACAAAAATAACCAAGGTTTAAAATATTCTAGACCATGGGTAGGCAAACTAAGGCCCGAGGGCCAGATCAGGCCCAATCGCCTTCTAAATCTGGCCCATGGAGGGTCCGGGAATCAGTGTGTTTTTACATGAGTAGAATGTGTCCTTTTATTTAAAATGCATCTCTGGATTATTTGTGGGGCATAGGAATTCATTCTTTCTTTTTTCGTTCTACCTGGACACTGAGGTCCAGCACCGAGGGCCTTCTGGCGGTTCCCTCACTGCGAGAAGCCAAGTTACAGGGAACCAGGCAGAGGGCCTTCTTGGTAGTGGCACCTTCCCTGTGGAACACCCTCCCACCAGATGTCAAAGAGAACAACAACTACCAGGCTTTTAGAAGACATCTGAAGGCAGCCCTGTTTAGGGAAGCTTTTAATGTTTGATGTATTGTAATATTCTTTTGGAAGCCGCCCAGAGTGGCTGGGGAAGCCCAGCCAGATGGGCGGGGTATAAATAATAAATTATTATTATTATTATTTTTCAAAATATAGTCCGGCCCCCCACAAGGTCTGAGGGACAGTAGACCAACACCTGCTGAAAAAGTTTGCTGACCTCTGTTCTAGACCACACAGTCCGAAGTCACTACTGAAATGGGAGGACTTGAACTTTCTCTGAAGGAAGCTCAGACTCTGATGCACTTTTAGGGAAAAGGCAGTTCTGCAGTACTGGTGTGTGACACTGCCTCGGAGAACGTATCTCTGCAAACCCTTTGCATGCATGCGGGCTAACCAATAGGCTGGGAGATCATAACATTGGTCCATGCTAGAAGATTTCTCAGTTTGACTCAAGATAATCAAAGCTACGGTGCAGTGGGAGAGGGGGAAAACACAAGGAGGAATTCGACGTAGCGCTGGGCCAACCATCCCATCAACACAAGCTTTTCAGCTTGCCAGATGGAACAGTCCCCACCCAGTGTGGTGTAGTGGTTAAGAGTGGTGGACTCGTAATCTGGTGAACTGGGTTCGATTCCCCGCTCCTCCACATGCAGCTGCTGGGTGACCTTGGGCTAGTCACATTTCTCTGAAGTCTCTCAGCCCCACTCACCTCACAGAGTGTTGTGGGGGAGGAAGGGAAAGGAGATTGTTAGCCACTTTGAGACTCCTTCGGGTAGTGATAAAGCGGGTTATCAAATACAAACTGCTTGTTGTGCGCCGTTCTGAGGTTCTCCTGACCCGCCCTAGAGCTAGTGGATGTCCTTCACTGGTGGAACAAATCTAATTGAATCTTGCCCATAATTTACAGACTCTCTAAAAGGTCTGCAGTTCTACTATGGTGAACCTCACCAGGCCTTAGTTAAGGACCTTAGGCAGTTTCTTGCCTCATGGGACACAGCAGAAGACATGTCTTTTGAAAGTACTCCTTTGCTATGTGAGTTAACTTTGCTATGTGAACGGTTACCATGATCAGTGGCTCCCAAAAGCAATGGCTGTGTTGAGCCTCTGGATTAGAGCCAATCTGCTTGAGGGAGCAACACCAGGGAATGGCTTTTGCCTTCATGGCCTGCTTCATGTGGGCTTCCCAGAGACATCTGACTGACCACTGTGGAAATCAGGATGCTGAACTACATGCACCCTGTAGAACTTTTGTTCTGTTCCAGTGGGGTTTTTCCTTCCGTTCTTACCTGTTATGGTTATGCATCTTTCGATTGTTGTCTTCAACAGGAATAAAAAATCTCGTAGTCTGGGGTAATATCAGTGGGAACAGCTTCATCGATCTGAGTAAAACACAGCTCTATAGATATGACAGCGCCATCTGGGGCCCACCAAGCTTTTCCCGTGATTTGATGGATGTCCTGTTTGATCGGTAATTTTTTGTGATACTTTTGATTTTTTAAAAAACTGGCTTTTATGCCATCCCTCTGAGTCTGAAGTGGTGTTTGCACCTTACACATCGGCCCAAGACCTTTGCCTCTTTCATAGTCTCTTGCATTTTACAACCCCAAAGTCTACTCTACAGTGCTTTGGGGCATTGTGATGGTGTTTGGAAAATCTTAAACAAAAAACTGAGAGCATCCAACTCCAAGGCTTGAAAAATGGAAAAAGTATTCATGTGCTAAGAACCAGAAGCATTGTTCTTTTCAGGACTCAGTTCTCAGGACAAAATCCCCAAATTGAGCCCAGAAAAGGCACAAGAATGCCAGTGCTTCCGTTTACCAAATGCAGTTTCCAAGTGAAAAGCAAAGGAAGTGTGAAAAAGAATATTCTAAATTAAGCTTCTCTCCTGATCTTTACGTCCACCAACAGAGAGAGCTGTGCTCCAAATCAAAGCTTCTCTAATGCACTTTTGAACCTCTGTGGAATGTTACATAAGGGGCAGCATCATTATTACTTAAAACCTGATTTGGTGCTTTAAAGTTATTAAGGTCAAAGTGTAGCCTTATGAGACTTTACATCGGTGTGGAGAATATGTGCGCCGGAAAGGAGATGGAGTCAACAGACACTCAAGGAATAGTTTCGAGATAAGCTTTATTTCTACCATCCATGAACTGGTAGAAGGAGCAAGTGTGATAGTTCACAAACAAGCACGAGTTCACAGTCATTTGCACAGAGCATATATTCCCCTTCCAGTTCCCTGTCCTTTCTCCTCCCTCAGGAGTCCTGCCCCATGTTGAGGTTCCTGAGCATGTACAGAAAGCTCCTGTCTTGGGACTATTGGACTCTTGGCACCCTTCCCAGGAAAGGGGGAATGAGAGCGGTTCAGCATGTCCAAGAAGTTGCAACTAGAATGAGATAAAAGTCAGTTCTCAGGCCTGCTTTGAACAGAGCCTATTCATTTTTTGAAGCCTTCTTGTGCTGATAAAAGAATAACATTTTGCCTTGCAACAGCAGAGCAAATGAGCAGATGCTTAGCTGCTGAGAAAATGATTTTGAAAAGCTTTGAGAAGCTTTGAGCCTGCTTTAGGGTGGGGGGGCCTTCCGGCCTAGGTGGGGTTACCTGTCCTCACCTCCTTCAAAAGTATTTAATTAAGAAATAAATGGTCTAGTTGTGGCAAGGATCATAAGCAGCAATAGCTCCAGTGCTCTGTTAGAGTCATACCATGTAAGGATCTGAAACACATTTTCCCACCCAAAATACTGTAGTATTATTACTATTATTTATTAAATTCGTTAAATGCTGGTTTCTAGATTTTGCCCTGAAGTACATCTATATTTTAGAACTCCTCTTTTGTTTTTGTTTTCGAGTGCTCTTCATCAGAGTTTCCGTCACATGGCTCCCCTGTTGCAACCTGCAGGCTCCCCTGTCACCTTCAAACCTGCCAATGAGTTGGACGATGAAGCAGCCACACCTTCTCCAACCTTTTGCCCCTCCTCTTGTGGTCCACCATCTTCTCCCCCGGCAGCCCCGCTGCTTCCTGCAAGCAGGGGAACAGATAATAAAACTTGAAGGGAAACAGAGGGGAGAGGAGGTGGCTGTCTCATTTCCCAGTTCAGCATCAGATTATAGGCAAAGGAGGAATCTCCTTGCTCGGAATGCCTGGAGGTGAAAGGGCACAAAATTCATACCATTCCCATACCATTCCAAACCTTGCTGAAGAGACTATGACAATGTATGAGGCTTTGGGGGGTCTGAGACTTCAGCCTCTTGATGAGGAGCTGCTTGCTTAAAAATGGTTTGGAACATGGTCTCTTCCTGTAGTTTTCTTTATTTGTATTTAAGGAAAGCTCTGATTTCTCATTTTACAGTGAATGGATACGAGCAGAGTTTCTGACTGCAATGAGTTTGTTGAGTTCCTGGGAAATTCATTGCGTAGGCATAGCGCCAGCACATGCCATTTTTACTGTGCTGAGGTACTGGTACCTGGACTCCCCTCCAGGAGAACTGGTCTCCCTGGGAGTACTCAGTGAAGGTAAATGTTGCTCTTCAGTCAAATAATCATCAAACGTTTCTCTGTTACACTGCTTCATTTCCACCAGAGACCATGTGGAAGGCTTGTGTTATTCTATCCAAATTTAAATCTTTGCGTACGATACAGCCAAAGTTTAAGCAAAGCCCCATTGATTTCAGTAGCAGAATTTCACGCCCGCTTAAATCTCTTCCACTGAAATCGGTGTGGCAGAATATTGGGATATGGTCCATGTAATTCACAGTTTTAATGGCAAATGTATGGGTGTGTTGTTATCTGTGCATAAAATACACTTTGGAGGGACTGTTTCTGTTCCTTAGGTCAGTTTGGGATTCCTGAGGGAATTGTCTACTCCATGCCTGTAAGTTTCCAGAATGGCAGCTGGAAGGTCTCTACAGATCTACAAATTAGTGAGAAAAACCAAGAATGTCTTCAGAATCTAACCTATGATCTGATTCGGGTAACCTCATGTTGCTTTCATGTCCTGTACTATTGTTTTCATAATTCTTCCTTCTAGTTATGGACACATTCCAAACAAGAGACTCCCTTCATGTTAGATTTACTCCACATATGGCCGGTGGTCCAATTGCCATTGGATTCAGCATCTAAATTGATCCTTAGAGGGCAGCACTTGCTAGTGCAAACAATACATTTTTACTAGTTTAATTTTAAAGAGTGCAGTTAAGGCAAATTTCATTAGCACCGAAAGCCTGCCTAGTACTTCCTAGATTGTACCCATTTATTTGGCCAGTTTGTGATTGTTTTGCAGACAGGAAACAAACAAAAACTCCTGTATCTGTATAATGGGGCAAAGGAGAAGCAGTAACTCACAGCTCTTCCCCTAGAATTTTCCTTGATTCTCCGAGCTCCAAAATAAATGTTAAGATAAGATCATGGATTTGACCATGAGTGAAATCTGAGTTGTCCGTCATGCGTAGAAGATTTGCACGAATACAAAAGGCACAAACATAACCCATAAATAAACCCTGACCCATCACTTTCAGCAGAAATTGTTAAGTGTGTTTAGGATCAAACCTTTGGGGAAGTACCGTATTTTTTGCTCTGTAAGACTCACTTTTTCCCTCCTAAAAAGTAAGGGGAAATGTGTGTGCATCTTATGGAGCGAATGCAGGCTGCGCAGCTATCCCAGAAGCCAGAACAGCAAGAGGGATTGCTGCTTTCACTGCGCAGCGATCCCTCTTGCTGTTCTGGCTTCTGAGATTCAGAATATTTTTTTTCTTGTTTACCTCCTCCAAAAACTAGGTACGTCTTGTGGTCTGGTGCGTCTTATAGAGCGAAAAATACGGTAATTAAGATCACCCTGAGGTCATAGTATTATTGTTTCATCAGTTATTGTATTGTGTCTGTGTACGCCCCCGCCCAGTATTCGACTTTCAGATTATTGAGATGAAAGATGCTACCTTAAAACACCAGTCTAATTTTTTTTGGGGGGGGGGGGACTGATTATCTTTGTGGCTCAAACTGGTAGTATTGGCAAATAAATGCCAACTAAAAATGCACTTTATTTGGGTAATAATTGTTGTGTAATAAATTTCTTGTTTCCCTACGCAGGAAAAGCAAGTTGCATTAGGTGAAGTAACAGAATTGTATCCAGAGAGAAAAGGTAAATATCAGTAGGATGTGAGTGCTTTCTATTAATAGATAAAACACAGTGAATATGAAGACCAGATTTAAAATCAGATGTTCTCAACGGTGAGATTTTTAAACTGAACATGCCTATTACTAGACCTTTGGAATCCCCAGTTATCTGAGCGATGATCATACAATCTGAGTTGCATTTCTAATTCTGCAAGTTATAATGTCAAAAAACAATATGAGACTGTTTCATCTTAATTAATAGAGAGTTTTCTGGGCCTAGATCCAAAGAAACTAGGCTGAGGAGCCCAAGGAGATTTGATTGACTTTTCCCTCAAAGATGAGCCAATCCACCCACCTGACAAACTCCTTTTGAAACTGAGGAAGGCTTCAAAAATAGTTTGTGAAATGAGCTGGAGGCTATCTGCTTGAAGACCAAAACGAAAACCCAGACCTAGCACAAGATCCTTGCATATGCAGGCCCTTGGATCCCTTTGATTGGCATTCTGGAGCACTTTGTGGATTTTTCGAAGGACTATAGCACAGGATCCAAAATGCTAGGTGCACTGAAAGGGCTGCATGTTATATAGGTCTGATTTATGTTTACGTAGAAGTGAATCCTACTGAGTTGACGAAGGCTTACTCCCAGGAAAGAAGGCATAGGATTGCAGCCTTAAAGTTCAAACGATGACGAATAACTTATAGCACCTGATTAAATTCCTGTTAGTTCTCAACTGAAGCCTCTCTTCTGGATTTTATATATCACCTTATTTTTATTTTATTTTTTTGCTGTAGGCTGCTTCTTCAACTAAAGCTTTTGACCTCAAAAACCAGCCACAACAACCCAATTGTTATTAACATTTTACTTTAGCTTGGCGAAGTGCATTTCGTTGATACAGTTAATGTCATTACGTGGATATTGTTTCTTACAGTCAGCCCTGTGCCACATTCAGCAGAGGAAGAGGAAAGCATCCAAGCTGAGGAGGAAGGTAACTCAACAAAATATTTTAAATATATTATTTTATTGGGGGGAAATTGAGGGCACATTTGTTTACCCAGGTTTTGGACAGGTAAAGATATTTTTATCTTTAAAGCAGCGATGGTTTTGATAATGCTTCTAATTATTGGAGACTCTGCTTTTCAGTCATTTATATAGGTTTTTATGTGATAGCTGCATATTTTTGTTTTGAACTGTTGTTATACACTGCCCTGAGCTCAGTTTAAAGGAGGAGCAGTATAAAAATACAATTAGTAAAAAATAAATAAATGAGAAAAGCATTCCCATCCCCTTCACTTATTATGCAGGATAAAAATATATAAGATACCAGCTATGAACTCTGGTTTTAAGGAGATGGTGATGTCATATTATTGAACTTTCTTTATTTTAAATAAACTTTATTGGTTTTTACAGTGTGCACTTCAGAAGATGATAGAAATAATAATAATAATAATAATAATAATAATAATAATAATAATAAAAAAATTTATTACTTATACCCCACCCATCTGGCTGGGTCTCCCCAGCCACTCTGGGCGGCTTCCAACAGGAGATTAAAAACACAATCAAACATCAGACATTAAAAAACTTCCTTAAACAGGGCTGCCTTCAGATGTCTTCTAAACATCAGATAGTTGTTTATTCCTTTGACATCTGATGGGAGGGCATTCCACAGGGCGAAGAAAAACAGTTTTATGCTAAATACATGAATAATGGGGCAGTTAGCAACTGCTTCCCCACCCCTGCAATAACTGACAAATTTCGAGGTTTCTGTAGACTATCGCAAATTTGCAAGTCAATATGCAGAAAATGCAACATTTTTTTTAAAGTGTTCAGACTAACTGCTTTTCCAGAGGAGCTCAGAGAGTATTTTTATATCCATTAGCACAGAGTGGGGAGGGAGAAATACGTAAAAGCAGTAAACATTTGCTTTATTTAAGAATGGGCAACTTCTTGAGCACCATAATTTCTGCAGAGTAGCAGTACATTTGATAAAACTGGAATGCTTGCGGTGAAACTTGCACCGTAGCTGTCAGAAATGCACAGTGAGCAGAATGCCATTTAACTGCTGCCTGCAGAAGTGACTAGAAAACATAGATTTACCTTGCCTTTTATTTGCAGAATCATTATCCAGCTCTCCAGATGACCCAAACTTAGATATCATGAGGTTCTGGAGAGAGGGGGGGAATTTACATTTGGTTACCTTCAGAATCGTTCAATCTTTTGCTTGCCTTCCAAAATCTGCCATTGAGTTTTGAGAAATTTTTGTGTAAATGCAAATTAAGGATCTATTCCATGACCCAAGGCCCCGTGACCAAGTCGCTCCCTATGTAATGAAAAACCAGACGAGACAGCAAGATATAGATTTTGACTTGACTTGATATAGGTTTTTGAGAAACTCATGCTGGGTCTTAGCAATCACATTAGCCTGCATGTGTAGAAAAAAGACATGAAATGGAAGAGGCAGGTTAATTCCAGGTTGTGCTTGTTAGTTCCAGGTTGAGTTGGGCAAATAAACAGGCTGTTTCCCGGTGAATGTGTCATTTCATCATACAGGCAGCTAAAGAATATAGCAGGTTTTTGTACTACTGCAAAAAAAGGTGGTATCTCATTATTGATAGTTAAGGCAGAGCAATTGTCACTGCCTGTGTTGCCCTACTCATCACCTATAGGGCTAGGTGAATAGGTGACTAAAATAAATAATACCCTTAACAACCATTACAGTTTTGCTAACAGATAGATCATGGGTAGGCAAACTAAGGCCCGGGGGCTGGATCCAGCCCAATTGCCTTCTAAATCTGGGAATCAGCATGTTTTTACATGAGTAGAATGTGTGCTTTTATTTAAAGTGCATCTCTGGGTTATTTGTGGGGCCTGCCTGGTGTTTTTACATGAGTAGAATGTGTGCTTTTATTTAAAGTGCATCTCTGGGTTATTTGTGGGGCACAGGAATTCGTTCATTTCCCCCTCCCCAAAATATAGTCCGGCCCCCCACAAGGTCTGAGGCACAGTGGACCGGCCCCCGGCTGAAAAAGTTTGCTGACCCCTGAGATAGACTCTAGGAAAAATGTAATGGGTCTGGGAAAACTTCAGAGGGGATGAGTTCCAGCCCTCCTTATCCAGAAATAAGGGGGAAATAGCACTGCAGAGGCTGTGCCACTGCTTTTCTCATTGAAAAGGCTCTCAGGTCTGTTCTTTAATCCGGTTTCTTTTAGGACTTGGACTTTCACCCAGTAGCCAAGGAATCGCCTCTGAAAAAGGTGGCGAAACTCCTGCTGAAGGTAAATCTTAAACCGTGTGTGTGTTTAGGACTGAGCTAAAACAGCCTCCCCAAACTATGCCCTTTTTCAGTGGTGAGGCTGGAGGGCAGGCAAAGAGACATCAAATTTTCTAGGAAAGGGGGCAGGGCCTGAAATTCTTCAATGCTTTTCCCTCAGAAAATTCTCTCCTTCAGAGGGGATGAGCTCCAGCTGTTATGTACTGAGTTGAATAGGATTCAGAATGCAGCAGTCTGATTGGTCCTGGAACAATAGGATCCAGAATGCAGCAGTCTGATTGGTCCACAGGAGCCACCCAATCCAGCTCCAGGTGGAAGTGAATCCGCAACCTGATTGGCCTACAGGAGAATCCCAGAATTAGCCAATCACGTGGGGCCCATTGTGTAAATAATGTATATAAGGCAGACATTCTGGGGGAACTTCCATTCCTCTTCACAACTATGAGCTGAATAAATAGCATGAAATCCACTCTCGACTATTAGTATATTTCACCAGCCCTGCTTGCTTCACAGAGACAAGAGGGAAATAGCGCACACGGTAGCACTGATGGCTGTTTCTGTGCCACTGCTATCCTCATTGCAAAAGCTCACAGGTCTGTTCTTGAATCCGGTTTCTTTTAGGACTTGGACCATCACCCAGCGGCCAAGGAATCACCGAAGAAACTTCTGAAGGTAAATCTTAAACTGCAAGCATGTGCGTGTGTGTTTAGGACTGAGCTAAAATAGCCTTCCCAAACTACGCCATTTGTCAGTGGTGAAACTGAAGGCAGGAGAAGAGTCATCAAATTTTCTCAGAGAGGGACGTGAAATTCTTCAACGCTTTTCCCTCAGACAATTCTCTCCTTTCAAATTTTGACTCAGTGATGAATGCAGTGCTTCTGTCCTTATACGTTGATGAAGGAAGTAGTGGGCTAAGAGAGAAAGGCCTCTACCTTCAATGACACTGTAATAATATTCGACAAGATCAAAACTGGATCCATAGTTTCGTCCAGAATTAACAAGTGGCAAAATTGGAGAAACCATTTTACCATATTCATCCCATGGGATGACTACAATTCTCCAATACTTTGGGAAGAGATTGGGTACGGGAAGTTTTCCAAAACTGGCTAAGAAAAGCTATTTTCTGGATACTTCTAGCCCAGCCCTAATTTCTTTTCCTCCACAGTTTTAAAAAAATCTCACAACAACAACAACCCAAATCTGTCCAGGCATACTTCAATACTTTCCCTTTACCACGAATTGTTTTTTGTCTGAAAATCACTCCCCTCAAGGTGCTTCTACGTCTGATTCCTCATTCACACATTCAAGTCACTATTTGATTTGCAGTTATCAAATGACAAGCAGGTGTGTGTAAACTAGAGAAGAGAGAGAGAATTTTACTCAGGGAATTTGAAGCTGAAAAGCTGGCAACCTTGGTCTCTTGCGTGTCCTTGCTTAATTACCAGCAATGCTATTCCCAAAGCCTTTTTTTAAAAAAAAAAATTTAATATAATTTACCGTATTTTTTGCCCTGTAGGACGCACTTTTCCCCCTCCAAAAATGAAGGGGAAATGTGTTTGCGTCCTATGGAGCGAATGCAGGCTCCTTGGCTTCAGCGATAGCAGCACGAGGCGTCCGGTGCGCACGAGGCCGCTCGCTCTCCAGGCTCAGTAGCCGCCTGAAGCCTTGGGAGCGCAGCAGTGAGTTCCCGCTGCGCTCCGCAAGGCTTCGGACAGCAGCCTGTAGCTCGAAGCCACGGGAGCACAGCGGAGCACTCCTGGGCTTCAGGCAGCTCGCGGAGAGCCTGCGGAGCCCGGCGCGACTTCCCGCTGAGCTCCGGAGGCTAGATGGATAGCAGCCTGTTTCTCGCGGCTGGGCTGAAGAGGCGCTGAGCAGAGAGGGGGAGATTCCCCCCCCTTGCTCTCCCCCTCTAAAACAAGGTGCATCCTATTCTCCGGTGCGTCCTATAGAGCAAAAAATACGGTAATTATCAGCAATGCTATTCCCAAAGCCTTTTTTAAAAAATATATAATTTAATTTAATATACTTCTGAATGTAAAAATAGGCTTTCAGTTACAAAGATAAAAACCGGTTACACAAACATTAGAATATAAGCATCCACAATTAAGATACACAATTAAAGATGGTTGGCTGCAAGTTTGTTTTGTGCCATTGGCTGCTATCTTTTCCTAGCAGCACCAGTTTTGGAATTCAGGTTGGGCTGTTTTGCAAGACTGCATCAGGGCAACTTTTAGAAGTCAGAACTGAAGCACTAGTATGTGCACCCAAGCCTTTGTGTGTGCACTTCCTCCTCCCCAAAGAGTTTCTGGATCCTGCCCATTGGCCGCGGTTGCGTGTAAGCGTGGGGTTGGGGCAGAGAGAGATGATGATGGCTTAAAGCCTTTCGATTATAGTGTAGTCAATCTGGGATTTGTATTCATGTTTCCTGCATCCCAAGCACAACACCCTCTCCATCAAAGCAGACTGACATTTCCTCCCTTGTCATTCTGAAGCACTTCGTTCTGATTAGCCTCTCTTTTTTTTAAGAGCAGATACAAACAGCTTTCCTTTTTTTAAAAAAAATGCTTTATTGGTTTTAAAACTGTAGAACAGAAATGATCAAGAAAGGTTAAAGACAAATTAAAAATAATCATTCATTCCTTAATTGATACTTGATTTGTACATCAATTTGTAATTACATTTAACATGACCTCTGATCTTCCCATTGTGTTCCTTAATTGGATTCCTTGAATACGCACTTAACTTTATTTTCTCCATGTTGTTTAACTTACTTTACATTTTATAAAGTTATCCTATTTACACACAGAAACTCAATTGAAACCTGCCAACGGATTAATATTTTGACAATGTTCTTTTACATAAACTCTGTATATGTCCCACTCTCTGGTAAATTTTTCATCTGTAATGTCTCGTTACCTTGCTGATAGCCTTGCTAGTTCAGCGTATTCTCTTGCCAGTCTGATTGGAATGGGATAGCCTCTCCCTTCCAACCTTTTGTGATTAAAATTCTGGCAGCAACTCTAGCATACATAAAGACTCTCCTGAACTTTTTTGGAATTTCGTTACCCATAATTCCTAGCAGGAAGGCTTCAGGTTTTTTAGGGAAAGAACATTTAAACATTTTCTTAAGTTCGTTGTAAATCATTTCCCAAAACTGTCCGATCTTTTTACAGTTCCACCACATGTGGATCCATGTACCTTCAGCATCTCTGCATTTCCAGCAAATGTTTGTCCTAGATTTAAACATTTTAGCCAATTTAACAGGTGTTAAATGCCACCTGTAAGGCATTTTCATACAGTTTTCTTTTAGATCGTAGCATGCCATAAATTTGATGTCTTCCCTCCAGAGTCTCTCCCAACATTCCATGAGGATGTTGTAACCATGGTCCGTGGCCCATTGCACCATTACGGATTTGATTTCTTCCTCCTTGACCTCCCAGTCAAGGAGTAACCTATACATTTTAGAGAGTGGTTTGTATTTATTTTGAATCTCATCTTTATTGAGTCTTGAAGGTTCTGTGGAGAAACCGGTTTATTTGTCTTTTTGGAAGGTCTCATTCAATTGAAAATATTGCATCCAATCTATCAAATGGTGCCTGGTTTTTTCAAATTTTTAAAGTTTTAACTTATCGTCTTTTTCTTCCAGCAGATCTTTCTAGGTTTCGCAGATACGATTCACTTTCTTCTTTTTAACCGAAAATGCTTCTGTCGGGGACAACCACCACGGTGTTTTAGGTTCTAATAAAGTCTCATATTTAGACCACACTTTGTGTAATGATCTCTTGATTACATGGTTTAGGAAGCCTTTATGTACCTTGGCCTTCTCATAAGCTAGATAAGAATGCCAACCGTATCTATTGTTGAACCCTTCCAGGTCCAGCAGGTCAGTATTATTCAGTGTCTTCCATTCTCGTATCCAGGAAAGGCATTCTGATGAGCATCAGTGGTACAGCCCAAATGGCAATCCTCCATGCTTTTCTTAAGGGAGGGTGAGGGCCATAGTTCACTGGTGGGACATCTCTTTTGCATGAAGAAGGCTGCAGGTTCAGTCCCTCACATCTTTAGTTAGGTCTGGGAGAGACTTTGGAGCCCATCAGTTCAGAAGATGCTGAACTAGATGGACAAATTGTCTGACTCAGTATAAAGCCCCTTTCTGTGTTCCTAGCTTCTTGTGAAAAGAAGGTCAAAATATGCTAACAGATTATAAAAAGAAGAATGTTGGAAATGTGTGAAATGTAAAACTAACCATTCTTTCTACATCAGAGGCTGAAGGTTCCCCTAGTGAGGCAAAGAATCCTGAAGAAGAAAACATCAAAGAACCCACAGGCGACAATGCAGAAGATCCTGTAGATGGTAGGCCCAAGCTGCTTAAAAATAAATAAAAAATTTACTCCTTCAGATGATAAAACAGCAGTATCGTTTTAGCAAGCACACAGGGGTAAGCTCCAACTATTTGTAAACCTCATATTTTGATTGTGAAACCAGGTATTTCTTCCAGTTGGGACTCTTTAACTCAAAAAAAGTAATGTAAAAAATTGTTCTATTTGTTGGTAGTAGGCTTCATTTTTAAAACTGTTGTGGTATTTGTTGATGCCTGGCATCTTCTCAAATCTGCTTTACTTTCTGGCTTCCATTAACAACAGCAGAATTGCTTTCACAGTACAGTCATACCTCAGGTTGAATGAAGTTGCTTCAGGTTGAGCGTTTTCGGGTTGCGCTCAGCGGCGATCCGGAAGTAACGGAACGCGTTACACGTGTGCAGAAGCAGCGCCTCATGTTGTGGACTTTTCGGGGTTCGTATGGACTCCCGGAACGAATTAAGTTCGTATCCAGAGGGTCCACTGTAATGAGCTCTTTCAACTCTCGCAGTTTGAGCCCCTGCCTCGGCTTCATTCAGCAATAGAGACTTTTCTTTTCTGAGTTTGGAGCCCTCTTGAGCCCCTTCCCAACTTTCTCTAACAACCAAATCTGCCTTTCCAGATACTTGAGAATGTGTGGTGGGAAGCTATGATGAGCTGAAGCTCCCAGGCGCATGTCGCCTCTGTATTTGGAGATAAAAGTCTCCTTTGCACACTTCCCTCACTGCATACAGTACAGAAATCACAGCGTATTGCTACATAAGCAGCCTTTTGTCTATGGCTACATGGGTGCCCCGAGTACTGATACATTGGTGGCCTCTGAGAAATGTGACTGTGGGTTTTCCATTTCTCTTAACTATCGCAGTGACTAAAATGTCTTTCTTTAAAAATAAAAAAAAATCATCCTATAGCAAGTACAGCGATCCATATAAAAACCGTAAACATATTGGATAACCACTTAATTAGGCAGTCTCCATGACTGTCCTATTTGGAAAAGCAAAAACAGAAAGAAACTAAAATGCTTCCTTCTATTTGTTTATTTTTATTCTGCAGCTCCTGATTTGTCTTAAGCAGATGCCAACTTGAACAATCGAGAATTAAGTTCAGAATTCACTGCTGCTTAATTCAGCTGCCTCAGAGAAAATCCCTGGATGCAGTAGCTTCTGTTGCTCAACAGGAAAATGTTAATTCTTCTTTCTGAATGTAATGAATTAAGTAACTGTGTAAAAACTTAAGCGTGTTTGTCTTCCGTGTGCATACTAAACAAACATGGCACATTTTTGTTGGAGTATTTGGATCAAACCAGTTTAGCTCCATTTAAATGCAGCAATATCATCTTGAAGATCATTTTGTGGGCTGAGAAAAATGCATTAGGAATTCAAAACACTTATATTAAAATTTGTAGAGGATGATGTTCAAATCCATAGCGAAATTTGGATGATGCACTCTTCTCCCTTCTTACTACACTTGATGGAGGAGCAAGATGAACCCTTTGGAACAGCCTGAAATCTGTTTTGCACGCCCAACCATCTAATCGACTCAAGGCTTCCTAGCACCCTCTACATTCCAGCTTTAAAGACTGCTGATTCTGGGGCTTTTCCTTCACAGCCAGCTTTCCTCCCTTATCCCCTTGTTGTGTTTTTCTCAACAACCAGCCTCAAGAAGATGTAGCTCTGGAGAACTGAAAAAACTTGCTTGCCGCTTTGAGACATTTTAGTGCGTTCTAATAAAGATGAAATCTTAATAAGGCTTTGAGATTTATTTCCATTGGAACAACCCAGGTGTTTTTGAAATAAGGAAGTGTTTTGGTTATGTTATAAGCAAAAGAAAGTGCAGATCGCCAGGTAAGTCTTTTTGGAATGGCGCTTTCTTGGGGGATGATTTTAGTGGGGTGGGGTGGGCATCCAAGAAGGTGCAAAAACACTGAACTTGGCTGTATAGGTTCCACATAAACTAAAGCACAGGGGTGTTGTGAGAATGAGAAGTGCAGCGGGCAAGCATTGAAAACAACTATGATTTAGGATTCTGCATACCGTATTTTTCGCTCCGTAAGATGCACTTCTTTCCTCTTAAAATCTTAGAAGAAATGTCTGTGTGTCTTATGGAGCGAATGTGTGGTCCCTGGGGCTGGGGGGGGGGGAACCTGGGCTACCCCCGCCAGCCCTGACCTGCTCTTTGGGGCTGGGGGTGGGGGAAAGCGCTTCCCCCACCGCCAGCCCCACAAGCTCAGGGAGCAGCGGGAAGGCTGCACACAGCCTTTCCGCTGCTCCCCGACCTGCTTTTTGGGGCTGGGGGAAACCTGGGCTTCCCCCAACAAGCTCCCAAGCAGCTCTGGGGTAGCCCGTGAAGCCTCCGCAGGGCAGCGGGGAGCCTTCATCCCGCTGCCCTGGGGAGGCTTTGCGTGGCTATCTCTGGCTTTTGCGGGAGGTGGGGGAAGGGACAGAGCAAGGCACTCTCACTTCCCCCACCTCCCGCAAAAGCTCCCAAGAGCCGCATATTTTTTTTCTTGAATTCTCCCCCCAAAAAGTAGGTGCGCCTTATGGTCAGGTGCACCTTACGGAGCGAAAAATACGGTACCTCAAGGTTTCTCCAAGCATCCTAATGTTTTCCAGTAACCCTGTCTTGGCTTCAGCCCCGTCAATAGTCAACCACTTCGTCATTAGAGGGAATTAGAAGATGAGATGGTTAACTTCAAGGGCTGCTACAATCAGGATTTTGTGCTTCTACAAGAGCAACGTAATTACTGTAATAAAAGAAATCTTTTGTATTGGTCTTTTGGCTTGGTCTTCCAAAAGCATACACAGAAATAGCCAAAGCCAGCGTGGGACTATGACGCTTGTACCTATATTTAATATTCATTGAAAAAATTAATATGATGAAATGCCTAAAACTGATTATGGTGGATCGGATTCCAAAAGCACCAATTCATAAGGAAACCTAATTGTTCCAGAGCTTGATTCATTAAATTGAGACTTTTGAGGCCACTCGTCTTGAGAGTTGCAAAAGTACATTTTATGTCCTTAAAATAATCTCTCGGGCTTTTAAGAATTTCTTTATTGCTTTAGGGGGAGTTTGTGAATTTGACGCAAGGACGGTAGCTCGCTGCCCTTTCATGTTTTTCTTCCTGTGTTACTGATAATGGCTCCTCTGCTTCTCAGTCTCTATAGCAGCATCATGTTTCTTAGCTACCTGGAGATGCTCAAGTCTCACTTTCCAGAAAGACAGGGCAGACCTGTGCGTAATGGCCTTCGGAGACACAGTTCAAAGACGCTGCCCATTTTCAATTATTCAGAATCTCTATTATTAATTGAGTGCACTTGGGGTTTTGTTGCTGTGAGGAGAGAACAGTTGCGAGGAAGCTGGGCGTTTTCACTGTAAAAGTAGTGAAAACTCCCAATTATTTCAAGGGCTTGCACTTATCCCCAACCCTGGGATGTCAGTTTATAATGGGGAACAGACTGTTTTGTCTTCCTTGAACCCCCTGCAGGCCTTTTGTAGATGACGACCACAGAGGTAAGGTCTTCCCTGAAGGAGAACTCGTGTATGCGGTGGCAGCAGAGTGAAAGAAAGGATGACGGAGGTGATATTTTTGATTACTGTACTTTACCTTTTGTACTTTATGTGGTATTTCCAGGCTGCAGCAGAACTGCCATCTTCACTGATCCCTCACCTTTGCACCTGAGGGTCCTGAAACCTGTGTAGTGATAAAGACCTGGGAAAAGGATGGTTTGTATGTGTGTAAAAGGCCCAGGAAATAATACTAAAGAGCCTCAGTTGAAACTTAAGTTCCTTGTGTGTTGTTGCAAGCCATACCTTACTGAAACGTCAGATATAGCTCTTTTTACACAAACAAATGGCACTGCTGTATTTTTCCTTATCACACAGTGAATTGTGAGTCATTCAGAACCGTGGATGAGAAGGCTGGCATTGATTTGCCTATATAGTTTCTTTTGACTGCCTTTTCTTTAATCAGTGTTGACGTTTTAAAGGTCCTATCGGCAAGCATTTTGAACACGTTTCAGTTCACTAGTATGACCGGCTGTATAGTTCCACGCATTTCTTCAATTCTGGGAGTGCTTAAAATTACCGTATTTTTTGCTCTATAAGACTCACTTTTTCCCTCCTAAAAAGTAAGGGGAAATGTGTGTGTGTGTCATGGAGCAAATGCAGGCTGCGCAGCTATCCCAGAAGCCAGAACAGCAAGAGGGATTGCTGCTTTCACTGCACAGCGATCCCTCTTGCTGTTCTGGCTTCTGAGATTCAGATTTTTTTTTTCTTGTTTTCCTCCTCCAAAAACTAGGTGCGTCTTATGGTCTGGTGCATCTTATAGAGCGAAAAATACAGTAAATTATTAAATTTGTTATGTAGACATTATATCTTAGTATTATTATTGGACCTATCATAAATAAGAGGTATTACTGATCATTACTTAACACTGTGCTGGTTCTCGCTTTTGCTGTTTGGTCTTCCAGGACATGAGTTTGAGATCTAGTTCCAGCTAGGTTGATCACTCTGTGCCCTCGCTTGTGTTGTGCTGCTTGTGTATTTTCTTGCGGCTGCTTGAAAGCTGCAACTTTCTATCATAGTTCATTTACTTACAGGGACACCACAGTTGTTTTCCTGTCTCCAAGTTGAGTAAGATGGATCTGGACCAACAAGGTAAATATTAAAAGGTGCCTTGTGTGCCTCAACAAGTTTTCAGTTATCTCATGCATTGGCCTCCTGTTACAAATGGAATTGGATCTTTGTCTGAACGTTTGGTTTGCTTTTAAAGCAGAGGGGCTCTTATGCTAATTCGGGCAATGGGCCCACCCGGAAAAAAGTGCCCTCATGCGCGCACACACACACACACACCCTCCTGCCTTTGGGATATGCATTTCCTGTGGCACACGTCCAAGCTATGATCTGTACACAACCATTCACTCACTTTGTCTCTCTGGTGGAATCCAGACACATATAAAAAAACGCTGTGAAAATGCCTTTTCAAAAACGTTATGAAAAATATATTGAATTTGCCATAAGCTCACCATCGCCATCTAGTGTCGCATTTGAATAATGCATTAAAATGTACTTAAAATGTTGCATTTGCAGCTGTATAGCTGAGTCCTCTGTCTCTGTTTCTGTCTGCCTGTCTCTTTCTCTGTTACACACACACACACACACACACACACACACACACACGTGTGTACATCCACTTACTTGAGAGGCTGCCCCCTGGGCTTCACTCCAGCATGGATGCAGTATCAGGGCTTGCAGCTGCTGGGTAAACTGGGCAAAGAACATCTGGAGAAAGAAGTGGGGAGGGAGGGAGACAGGGCTATTGACAGGGAGGCCTCAGAGTTCCTGATAACTGAGGAAGAAGGCAAGAGTTGGGGCAGAAAGGGTTGGAGTGGTGAGCCAAGCGAGCCAAAGTCCAACAGAGAGTTGGGGCTGGCAGATTTGAGGGTGAAGTGTGAAGCTTCTGCCCAACTGGGGCCCCAACAAATACCAACTGGTGGGTATTCACTGGGGAAAGAGCATGTGATGCAACACGCTGCCCAAAATAAGTAAATAAAGGCAGTAAACTGGGTAGTCCCATGGTTGTAGCTATTCAGGTGCAGCCTTGTACGCCTCATTCCCGCAACTCCTGCAGCCAAGCTGGTGCCCAACGTATTGCTCTGCTTTCCTTTGGACCACATCAGCAAGTCTTGTCATCTGGGCAGCACAAAACCTCCATACACACTGCTCAGGTGGTCACCCCAGGGAGGTCACTTTGGTGCTGCTAATGCAGAGGTTTGACTTCACCCCCAGAGGTGCACTCCATTGTCTCCGGAGACAGACAGATGCCAACAATGTCCCTATGAAAATTTTAGAATCCTTTCATGTCCCTGACTGTTCCTTCCTTCAAACAGTTCACTCCCTCCCCCCTTCTTGTTTCAAAACTGTCTACAGTAGTACCTTGGGTTACAGACACTTCAGGTTACAGACGCTTCAGGTCACAGATTCCGCTAACCCAGAAATAGTACCTCAGGTTAAGAACTTTGCTTCAGGATGAGAACAGAAATTGTGCAGCGGCGGCAGCAGGAGGCCCCATTAGCTAAAGTGGTGCTTCAGGTTAAGAACAGTTTCAGGTTAAGAACGGACCTCCAGAACGAATTAAGTTCTTAGCCTGAGGTACCACTGTATTCATAGGGTAACAACAATGTGATGAAAGTACATAAGAAAAAGGAAGGAGCATAATAAACAGAAAGTGAACGGCATTTCAGGTCACCATCAGTACCTACGTAGGAATGCACATGAGGGGAGGAAAGAGTCCTAATAATAGCATGAGGTACAAAATAGGTCAACAAACATCTTCAGGCTAGCGGGTCTCTCAAGAAGCCATGACTGAGCTCAGAGGTCGTATACCTTCTACAGAGAAGTTAATGAACGCAATAAAGGGGAACCATGTACAGTGGTACCTCAGGTTAAGTACTTAATTCATTCCGGAGGTCCGTACTTAACCTGAAACTGTTCTTAACCTGAAGCACCACTTTAGCTAATGGGGCCTCCCGCTGCAGCTGTGCCACCAGAGCACAATTTCTGTTCTCAACCTGAAGCAAAGTTCTTAACCTGAAGTACTATTTCTGGGTTAGCGGAGTATGTAACCTGAAGTGTATGTAGCCTGAAGCGTATGTAACCTGAGGTACCACTGTATTTCCAAATGTATCCGGTTGAGCCTGCCTCTCTGATTGCCTGATGTTCTGCATTCTTTTCACAGAGGCCCTGAATACCATTGAGAATTCTGTCTACAGAACAGCCCTGAAGCTCCGTGCTGTGCAAAGCCTATGCCAGCGTAAGTGTAATAGTCCGGCCTCCTGTGCAACTTGGTAGGATCCGAGTTGGATGCAGTGCTGAACCTGCAATGCATGGTTCTAAGGCAGGGGTGTCAAACTCAAATTCATCGGGGGCCGCATCAGCAGTTTGGTCACCCTCAAAGGGCCGGTTGTATCTGTAGGACTATGTAAAGGGCATGTAAAGTGGAGGTTTCCTGTGTAGAACGGCCGGCGCCGCTAGAGAGCAGACGTTCTCTGGCTTGTAGGCTGCCACGCATGCGCTGAAGAGGCGGCTTTCTTGTGTCAAAAAAAAAAAAAAGCGAGAATAAAAGGTGAAGGCTGGCGGCGGCTACACGGGCCACATGACGAGGTCTGACGGGCCGGATTCGGCCCGCGGGCCTTGTGTTTGACACCCGTGCTCTAAGGGTTCAGCATATTATGTTTTCATCTGGATAAACAGGTGGGAAAGACACCTAAAGAAATGAAACACCATTGAAGCTCCCAACCGGAGATAAGAAACTTTCACTTCAGTTTTGGATTAACCACAGTTTCGCATGTTGTCCAAATCGTAAACTGTGGATAATCTTAACTATTGTTTGATAATCAAACCAGCTTTAACCCAGTTAGCTTGTTTCAAGCAAACCACAGTTAATATTAATCACAGTTTGTCCAAATTCAGGTGACATGACAAGCTGTAAATAATGGAAAAAAGGAGGATGAAAGCTTCCAGACTCCTCCTCACAGCTGTGCCAGAAAAGGACCGGAAATGCGAAAGCCTACACTCATTCCCACCATTGTGAAAACCATGGTTTATTGTGATGTCTGAACACAATAAGAGTTACAAAATCTGAGTTAACTTGGAGGAGGTCTATGAACCAGGCAGCGTGAGAAGCTGAAATAATGAATGACAATTTCTTCGTTCAGAGTTGAGCTGGTGGGACTTCGGAATTAATTTGTTGCTTTATTTTTCAGTCAAGCTGACTGACGTCTCTTCGATTCAGCAAATCCTGCCAAACCACAAATGCCGGGCAGAGAAGCAGAAGCCCCTCTCCATGGAGCAACTCACGCGACTGCTAAAGGAGCTGTTTAAGAGAACCAGATTAGAGAAGCCAGGCCAGGTGGAGCCAAAGGCAGCTGAATTAACCCTGAGCCTCCTGACCTCTGCATATGACAGGTGACAACAAAGAGACACCCAGTGTCTCATGGCAGATTTATGGCAGCTTCACGTTTTGATGCAAAAATGCCTGGTTCATTTGTCTTTTTAAATCCATGGTTCTAGATATAAATATACAGTGTACCTCGGGTTACATACGCTTCAGGTGACAGACGCTGCTAACCCAGAAATATTACCTCAGGTTAAGAACTTTGCTTCAGGATGAGAACAGAAATTGTGCAGCGGTGGCGCAGTAGCAGCAGGAGGCCCCATTAGCTAAAGTGGTGCTTCAGGTTAAGAACAGACCTCCGTAATGAATTAAGTACGTAACCAGAGGTACCACTGTATATGGAAATTCCAAACTAGGGCCAATTTTCAGATCGACAGGTGCAGAAAATATCCCTTAGAGGTGATTTGGCATGGCATGTATCTCTGCCTACACATACTGGTTTGTTTTCAGGTTGCAGGTTATGGTATTATGGCCTCAGTAATGGGCTCTAGACCCGTGGTTCCCAGTGTGGGGCACCCCCCCCACAGGGGGGCAATTTGATTTTAAGGGGGGGCAATTCAAGAATGAGTTGGACCAAGTTAATGGCCTTAATGGGATGTGGGTGGCGCTGTGGCTTAAACCACAGAGCCTAGGGCTTGCCGATCAGAAGGGTCGGCGGTTCAAATCCCCGCGATGGGGTGAGCTCCCATTGCTCGGTCCCTGCTCCTGCCAACCTAGCAGTTCGAAAGCACATCAAAGTGCAAGTAGATAAATAGGTACCGCTCTGGCGGGAAGGTAAACGGTGTTTCCATGCGCTGCTCTGGTTTTGCCAGAAGCGGCTTGGTCATGCTGGCCACATGACCGGAAGCTGTACGCCGGCTCCCTCGGCCAGTAAAGGGAGATGAGCGCCGCAACCCCAGAGAAGTCCGCAACTGGACCTAATGGTTAGGGGTCCCTTTACCTTTAATGGCCTTTTAGTTTCCTCCATGTGAATGGGAGTTCACTTTTTGAATAATAAGAATTACAGGGGTATCTCAGGTTAAGAACTTAATTTGTTCTGGAGGTCCGTTCTCTTTTTTCCCCCTGTCTCTCTTTTTTATTTTTTATTAAAGATTTTCTTGATTTACAGAAGTATGTGTAATGTCTCTCGTATTTTTTCCATGTAACATTTTTACAAATCAGTTTCATTTGTTGAGACATTAGGAAGAAGAGGGGGGAGGGGGAAAGATGGGTGGGGGTGGGGTGGCGATGTTCTGGAGGTCCATTCTTAACCTGAAACTGTTCTTAACCTGAGGTACAACTTTAGCTAATGGGGTCTCCTGCTGCCACTGCGCCACCGCCATGCAATTTCTGTTCTCATCCTGAAGCAAAGTTCTTAACCCGAGGTAATATTTCTGGGTTAGCAGAGTCTGTAACCTGAAGCGTCTGTAACCTGAAGCGTCTGTAACCTGAGGTACCACTGTATATGTCACTGTGGGGGGGGGTCATCAGGATTTTAGAGGTGCTTAGGTGGGGCATAACCAAAAAAAGGTTGGGAACCACTGCTCTAGACCTAGGGTGGGCAACCTGTGCCTAGCAGAGATTGGCAGAAGGGGTGACATTGCACACTTGGTTTCTTGATGCCAAGTAACACTATCGCTTACTGAAAGGAGGAGGTACTGATAGCTCAGCGTCATAAAGACACAGAAGTAGCAGCATTGGGAGTCTGTGTTTCCTTAATTGTGGGCTTTCCTCCCGTTTGAATTTGTCTCGTTTTGTACATTGACTTACTGGACACCCACACCTCCTGTATTTTGTTGTAAATCATCTTGAGTACAACTCATTGTGGAAAGGCAGCATACAATTAAATAAAACAAACTACATTTAGAGGGCTTCAGATTCCTGGCGCTGGTGTAGAACCTTTCTCTCTTTTTTTGGTCAGGAAAAGGGACTTCAAATTCCAAAGTTGGGAGATAGCTCATTGTTATGTACTGAAGTTCTCACCCTGGGCCAGCAGGGGGATACTGTAGATAGTTATGCAAATAAGGGATCGAAAGTGACGTTCAGTGATTGGATAGTTTTAGAAAGTTGTTACAGTAACGTTGTACTGGAGCTCTATATAAGCAGGCTGACTGAACCCTTCAGTTCAGTTCTGTCCTGGCCTGTGAATAAACAAGAGCTGTTTGAAGAATCGCTGTGTTGTCTGATATGTTTACCCACAACTTAACACTCATGTAGCAGCTGTTGATTTTCCTCTTGCTTCCTGCCCCTTTTTCTTACATTGTAGGAATGGGGTGGGCTTTATCCAGCCCCGATCAGCTGCAGCTGCACTAATTGCTCTCTCAGGGGATGGCCTGCTTACCAAATATAGAGGTAAGCGGTATTGCTCTTCTGTATTTATTCTCCGCAACAAGTTAGGCTCAGACTGCTGACAAACATATACACTTTTTTGCACAGTAAGCAATCAAGTCTTGCTAAGCACAGACGAAAATGTGAAAAATGAACTGCCCGCCCAAAGAGAATAGCAGAAATAAATGCCGTTTCTCTTTTCCTTTACACCTCTCAGTTTCCCTTTTTGCATCAGTAGAGGCAAGCAGTGCTGGATTTAGGGCGCTGGAAGTGGTTCCCCCGCATGGGATGCTGAGCTGAGGGGGTGCAAAATTGAGAAGATCCATAATTGAGAAGATCCATTGGGGTGCCATTATTACCCAAAATTACTGTTCCTGGAGGCAAAGGCTGAGTATAGTAAGGAAATGGCAGAGAGACAAAATCATGCCATGTCACTGCACCAGGGTGTTATAGTGGTTAGAGCAGGCATCCCCAAACTCGGCCCTCCAGATGTTTTGGGACTACAACTCCAATACTGTAATAATAATAATAATAATAATAATAATAATTTATTTGTACCCCGCCCATCTGGCTTGGTTTCCCCAGCCACTCTGGGCAGCTTCCATAGAAACCAAAAAACACTAAAATATCATACATAAAAAACTTCCCTGAACAGGGCTGCCTTAAGATGTCTTCTGAATGTCAGGTAGTTGTTTATCGTTTTGACATCTGATGGGAGGGCGTTCCACAGGGCGGGCGCCACTACCGAGAAGGCCCTCTGCCTGGTTCCCTGTAACCTCACTTCTCGCAATGAGGGAACGGCCAGAAGGCCCTCGGCGCTGGATCTCAGTGTCCGGGCTGGACGATGGGGGTGGAGACGCTCCTTCAGGTATACTGGACCGAGGCCATTTAGGGCTTTAAAGGTCAACACCAGCACTTTGAATTGTGCTCGGAAACGTACCCTAGCTAACAGGACCAGTGGTCAGGGATGATGGGAACTGTAGTCCCAAAGCACCTGGAAGGCCAAGTTTGGGGATGCCTGGGTTAGAGTGTTGGGTTAGGACTGAGGAGACCCAGGTTCACGATTGTGTCTCATGCATTCGGCTCCCAATACCTGACCTGAAGAACGCAGGCTAGGAAATAACTCTCTTGACTCTTCAGGAATTCTGACTGGTATTCTCTGGTGCTGGCAGGTCTCTTTCAGCTTTACTCAACCTGCGCAGGAAGGAGCGCCAGCCGGACTCATATTTCTCGAAATGGTGTGAGGAATCTGCTAACAGACTTACTCCAGGTAATTCAGCTACTGTGCAACATGGAAATGGAGAAGTGGTGAATCTCCTGAAGCAGACCGGTGAGAAAACTACATGGCCCTAACATGGATATCTGATAGACGGCTATTCCCAGAGCATCCTTGTTTGTTCACTTCAGAGTCTCCTAGAATACTGAGAGATAATAATAATAATAATAATTTTTATTTATACCCCACCCTCCCCAGCCAAGGCTAGGCTCAGGGTGGCTCACAACCAATAATAAAAACAAGTTGAATGAATACAACTTAAAAAACAAGATTAAAATACGACATTAAAACATTAAAATGCAGCCTCATCACAGGAGGAGAAAGGAAAAAAGAAAAAGGGGGAGGGAACCAAATTGACTCCAAGCCAAAGGCCAGGCGGAACAACTCTATCTTACAGGCCCTGCGGAAAGAAATCAGATCCTGCAGGGTCCTGGTCTCATGAGACAGAGCGTTCCATCAGGCTGGAGCCAGTGTTGAAAAGGCCCTGGCTCTAGTTGAGGCTAATCTAACTTCCTTAGGGCCCGGGACCTCTAGGGGGTTGCTATTTATGGACCTTAAGGTCCTCCGTGGGGCATACCGGGAGAGGCAGTCCCGTAGGTACGAGGGTCCTAGGCCGTGAAGGGATTTAAAGGTCAAAACCAGCACCTTAAATCTGACCCTGTACTCCACCGGGAGCCAATGCAGCTGGAAAAGCACTGGGTGACTATGCTCCCATGGCAGAGACCCCATGAGGAGCCTCGCTGCTGCATTCTGCACCCGCTGCAGTTTCTGGGACAGCTTCAAGGGCAGCCCCGCGTAGAGCGAATTACAGTAGTCAAGCCTGGAGGTGACCGTTGCATGGATCACTGTGGCCAGGTCAGGGCGGGAAAGGTAAGGGACCAACTGCTTGATGCTGTGAAGGTGGAAAAATGTCGCCTTGGCTATTGCTGTAACCTGCGCCTCCATGGAAAGGGAGGCGTCAAGAATTACACCCAAACTCTTAACGGAAGGCTTTGGCACTAATTGGGCCCCCACAAGAGAATGAAGTTGGTCCCTCATCCCCATACCATTCTGACCCAGCCAGAGGACCTCTGTCTTTGAAGGATTTAGTTTCAACCAGCTCTCACGAAACCATCCAGCCACAGCTTCCAAGCATCTGGTCAGTGTGTCCGGGGCCGAGTCGGTGTGGCCATCCATCAGCAGATAGAGCTGAGTGTCATCAGATAGGAAAAATGAGATTTGCAGATCAGAGAGGGTGAGACACTAAGGAGGAATGAATCAGCTAGTTAAGAAAGGACAAACATCAGATTCTAAGGATGCTTAGAGGGAGGCACTGTCACCATGGGCTCCCTTGGTGCCAGAACTCCTGAAGAGGAAGGGCTCTTAAAGGCTGGTTTTGAAGCTAAATCCCAGTCTAATATGCCCTCTCAATCCTTAGCCTCTTCCTCTCAGGACGGGAAGCCAGAGTCCTAGGTCATGCCAACATACATGCACAGAGTTAAAAGTTTCAGGGGTGACACCTTAAATAAAACCCATCATCTTTTGTCAGGGCAGAAATGCCTTTTTCACTTCCCTTTATTTTTATATAGCCTCTTCTCATTCCGTGTGATGGCGGTGGTCTTTTGCTGAGGGCTTATGGTGACAATGTGTTTTGCAGATCCTGGCAGTCGTGGGAGAACGCCGTAACCTGTCTAACGTGGAAATTGCAGTGACGAGTTGTTTCAGTGGGGTAAGTTAAAATACAGTATCAAATGTAGCTTGGGTCATATATAACCATCTTCACTGGCAGAAAATGCACTTCTGAGTTATATTACTTAATTGCACAGTCCCTTCATTCTTCTGTCACAAGACAGAGTGATTTCCTGAACTGTAAGAGACCAGATCCAATTAAGATCGCATCTTATGGACCTTGAAGACTATCACCGTCACAAAAGACATTCCGCCCTTTTTGAGCAAAGACGTCAGTAGAGGCTTCACTGGTACCCTGGATACAGGGCTGGCCCAATACATTTTGGTACCTGAGGCGAACCACAAAATGGCACCTCCCTCCCCACCAGGGAAGGAGGGCCATAGCTGTCAACGTTTCCCTTTTTTAAAGGGAAATGCCCTTATTCCGAATAGGATTCCTCACAAGAAAAGGGAAAAATTGACAGCTATGCGGAGGGCTGAGTGAAGATCTTCATCAGGAACAAGGGGGAAATAAAGATCTACATTAGGAGCTGCTGCCTCTGTGAATCCTGACGCCTGGATTGTTCCATGTAAGACTCAGGCTGGAGACTCCATAAGAGCAGAGCAGAGTTGTTGGTTCAGCAGGAGAGCTGTGTCTTCAGAAAGAACTGCAGCTCTTTCTCAGTTGCTTTCTCCACCCTCAGTGAGAGCAGCCTCTCCATTTCAAGGACGCCAGCCTGATTTAGCAGCCATTGGCACCTGAGGTGAATCAAACAACTGGTGCCCCCTCCCAGCCAGGAAGAAGTAGCGAGCGAAGATCTACATCAGAAATGAGGGGTTGGGGTAAAGATCTACATTGGGATCCACTGCTGCGGATCCTGCCGCCTGAGGCAGTCGCCTCACTTTGCCTCATGGGTGGGCCAGCCCTGGCCATGATAGAGATTAGCTCCAAAAACAGAGAGTTGTATTCAACTGAGTCATAGAGTAGACCCATTGACATCAGTGAGAGGGCTAACCTAAGAGCATTGGTTTTAACGGGTCTCTAAGTATATCTTGAGGGACGCGGGTGGCGCTGTGGGTTAAAGCACAGAGCCTAGGACTTGCTGATCAGAAGGTCAGTGATTCGAATCCCCACGACGGGGTGAGCTCCCGTTGTTTGGTCCCTGCTCCTGTCACCCTAGCAGTTCGAAAGTACGTCAAAGTGCAAGTCTTCCGGCGGGAAGATAAACGGCGTTTCCGTGCGCTGCTCTGGTTTGCCAGAAGCAGCTTAGTCATGCTGGCCACATGACCCGGAAGCTGTACGCCGGCTCCCTCGGCCAATAAAGCGAGATGAACGCCGCAACCTCAGAGTCGGTCACGACTGGACCTAATGGTCCCTTTACCTTTAAATATGTCTTATTTGGATTCTTTTGCAATTATAGATGAGATTTCAACACAGACTCGTAAAAAACCTGTGGGTTAGTTTTTAGAGTGATCTTTTCCAATGAAAAGCCAGACTTTGTGCTACATGTGCCTGAGACAAAGTTCTTGTTTGAGCTAAGGACTAGTGCTCTCTTTCAGGTTCTGGGTTCTGCAGTTGATGAAGAGAGGTTCTTAGCTTGGCTCCAGTCTGAACCTGCCATCCTTCTCTGGCTCCCCACCTGCTACAGATTGTCAGCAACAGAAATGGTCAAACACCAGGTCAAATGTAACATCTGCAAGAGCTTTCCCATCACTGGACTAAGGTATGTTGTATCATAATAACTAGGCCAGTGCTATTCAAAGATTCAGCCACTTAATTGCACAACAAATCTAGTTTTGAGGGGTGGCTGAATCTAGTTTCGTGGAGGTATAGGAAATTCTCGTTTGGTGTTTATTGTTTCATTTACTCATGGAAATTCCTCTCAAGTGAATTGAGCCATTTCTGTGAATCCCCCACTAGGGATGGGAGGATAAGTCAGTTTCTCATTTTATTTCTCATTTTTTTCCAATCTTAAATTCAGTTCTCCACATTTCTGCAGCAATTTGCAGATTTTTTTTAATCCCTCCTGAAAATTATTCAACATTTTAGTGCAGATTTCTCCTAACAAACATATTTCTGTATATAGTGTTAACAAATGTGCACATCTCCCCCAAGCAATTTCTCTTGGTGTAATACATTCCTGAATATTAATTTCACTAGTATCTTCATTTTGATGCACATCCCGCCTCCCCCCCCCCCCCGGGTAATATGTGCATTTTTGTAAACATTGGCTGGAGAAGTGCACCACAAATTCAGATAAGTGTGAATTTGGAAGGATGGCTGCATTCTGGTTCTCATACTGATTTGGACAGTCAGTGCAGATTTAATAAATTTCCTGTAAATGCAAACTGAATTGCATTTCTCTCTCCATCTCTACTGGTCTTTACTAGGTTTTCATTTCTTGTCTGGCCAGGTATCGTTGCCTGAAGTGCCTGAACTTTGACATTTGCCAAGTCTGTTTCTTTACCGGACAACTCTGCAAACCTCACAAGAAATCTCACCCTGTGATGGAGCACTGTGTGCCGGTTAGTCATGGACCCATTCACTTCTATTGCTCAGTCAACTAGTCTACTGAATGCTGAGTTAACTGGGTGGTTGGTGCTAAGTTTTGCATTCTGGCATGCATCATTGTGTTAAGAAAGAGTTATTTCCTAGGAAATGAAAGGATGATATTTTAGCCACAATATATTGTTGCACGCCACCCCAATCGCTGAACAGAGGTTCCAGGGCTGGAGGTTTCCCCACCCCTGATCTAAGGCAAAGTGCCTAGCAGAAAGAGAGGGCCTTTTCAGTGGTGGCACCCCATTTGTGGAGTCCTCTCCTCACAGAGATTCTCTTGACACCTGGTTCATTGTCCTTTTGGCACCAGGCAAATGTGTTTTTCTTTCTGAATGAAAGCTTTTCTGGTGTAGTGTTAATACAGCTGTTTGGGGCTGTGTTTATAATTTTGTGGTTTTTAGTCTTTGTAATACAGTGGTGCCTCTTGTTACAGATGATTCAAGTTACATACGCTTCAGGTTACAGACTCCGCTAACCCAGAAATAGTACCTCGGGTTAAGAACTTTGCTTCAGGATGAGAACAGAAATCGTGCTCCGGTGGCACAGCGGCAGCAGGAGGCCCCATTAGCTAAAGTGGTACCTCAGGTTAAGAACAGACCTCTAGAATGAATTAAGTACTTAACCCGAGGTACCACTGTAATACTAATACCAATAATAATTTATTTATACCCCCAGCCACTCTGGGCGACTCCCAACGGAATATTAAAACCACAATCAAACATCAAACATTTAAAAACTTCCTTAAACGGGGCTGCATTCAGATGTCTTCTAAGAGTCAGATAGTTGATTATTTCCTTGACATCTCTTGGGAGGGTGTTCCACAGGGTGGGCGCCACTACCGAAAAGGCCCTCTGCCTGGTTCCCTGTAACCTCACTTCTCACAGTGAGGGAACCGCCAGAAGGCCCTCAGCTGGTTATTGTATTTACATAAACAAATCTTTACCTTCCCCCAGTTCCCTCCAAGAACCCCACTTTAATCTTACTTCCCCGCCTTTCCTGCAGCCCTTCCTCATCTATTACACATTTCCAAATCAACCGAGGAGCTTTCTCCCTCCAACCCATATCGCCCCTCGATTATCTTACCTGGGCCAACTCTTAACATTCTTAGCTGTCCTTTTGTATATCCATCTTCTTTCTCCATCGCCCTGCCACCCGGACAGGTGTCCACAAAGGAGAGAACAAAGTTGTTTTTCCGCATCATCCGAAACAACTTGCTACAAGGGCGCTGCGAGAGGAAGGAAGCTCTGAGAAGGAAGACCTTGATGGTGATGGGGGATGCAGGCTACTATGCTGACAGCCATGCACAGTGAGTGCATCATTCGATGCTGTGTGTTTGTAGCTCTTCGGCTGCTTCTCTCTGGCCCTTGGCAGCACGTTCTCAGCAGTGCGGCCACCCTGGACCAATGTCAGCCGAAATTTGTTTTCCTGCAGTTTCACTGAGCGTGGGAAGAAGGCCTCCTCTGGTTAGCCTTAAGCTGGGCTTCAGTATTACACTTCCAGCCTAATAACTTCGTAATGAGTTGCTTTATCATGTTAAAAATGCTTTCGCTTCATTTGCTGCTTCCCTGTGCTCAGCTTTATGAGCTGAGCAGGCCATTAAGAAAAGAAGCATTTCCAGAATCCCTAAGGGTGATGTTCCCTCATCTGCAGAGGGGTCAACGCAAATGGAAAATGTTCCTCTTTGTTTCCATTGCGGACTCCACTTGTGTATTGTTTTTTTAAAAAATAATATTTTATTAATTTTCCAAATATAAAACAGAAAAAGAAAAAAGAAAAGAAAAAACAAAGAAAAGAAAAAATAACATCAACAATACATATTCCTAATTGGACATAAAAAAAGAAAAAAGCAAGAAATTGAAAAAGAAAAAAGAAGTCCCTTAGTCCCTTCCCTGGTTCCATTATATATCATCATACCGCAAGTCCATTTTAATTTTAAAAAATCATTAAAATTACTTATTGTCCATTCATATTTCCTTACAGATATTTCTAGAATCCTGCTAATGTATTAACCTGTGTACTTTGCTTCTGTATATATGCAATAAAGTCCTTCCAGTCTTCTTTCAACTCGTTCATCTCTTCCTCTTAGTTTCAATGTCAATTTTGCCATTTCAGCATATTCCATTAATTTAACTTGCCAATCTTCTTTAGCTGGGACACCTTCTTCTTTCCAGTGCTGTGCTAGCAGTATTCGTGCAGCTGTAGTTACATACTTAAATAAGTCTTTTTGTGGTCCTGGTTTGTCCACTCCTGTTATACCTAATAGAAAAGCTTCTGGTTTCTTAACAAAAGTTATTTTAAGCATCTTCTTCATTTCATTATGAATCATTTCCCAATATTTCTTAACAATTTTGCAATCCCACCACATATGAAAAAAAAGTCCCTTGCAGACGCCACTTGAAATGCCTTCAGATTATGTACGAGGCAAACCTACACACTTTCAATAAGCTTCTGTATATCTACATGGGCATTGTGTGTGCATATTTGCACAACGTGCGTCGTGTTCTGCCAGCCACATATCCTCCTGGTCTGGCAGCTTCCTGACAAACCCTCATTTTTGCAATCTTAGGCAGGCAGCAATCATCAGGCCTGCATGGCTGGTAGGATGTGTTTGACTCCCCCCCCCCCCCTTAGCAAACAATAAAACATCTATTGGTCTTAACACTAAAGACCCAACCTCCCGTCTATTCCATATTTCAAATTCATATTACTTATTGCCAATACACACTTTTTATCATAATTAAACTTATTCTCAATAAATCTAATTTCTTATATCTACCTTGCAACTATTACTGGAGTTCCTCGAATGCTGCAACAGAATTTAAACTACTATATTTATTTTTCAGATATTCTTTGAAAACCTCCCATTTAGAAACAAATTCCTGTTTTGATTTATTCTTTATTTTTTCTGATAAACCATCTAATTCGGCATATTCTGTCAGCTTTTGGATCCAATCTTGTATAGAGGGGATTTCATTACTCTTCCATTTTGCTGCGATCAAAACTCTTGCTGCCGCCGTCACATATAAAAGATACCCTTCCTCTTTTGTGGAATATCCAAATCTGTTATTCCCAGGAGGCAGGCCTCTGGTTTTTATTGAAAGAGATCTTTAGCATTTTTGCAGTTCTGCATGTATACTCTCCCAGAATACCTGTATTTTCCTACATATCCACCACATATGGTAGAATGTTCCTGAGTCTCCGCATCTCCAACAATTACTTGACACATTTTTATACATTTTTGAAAGTTTCGATGGTGTTAGATACCATCGATGTTGCATTTTTTGAAAGTTCTCTCTAATCATGTAACAATTTGTGTTTGGATGTGTTTGACTTGGTGAGTCATTGCAAAGGAGGAAGACAACTGGCTGCCCGGCTGCCCTGTAAACCTGGGGCATGGGACAACGAGGAGGAGAGAACATAGATAAGATGTGCTTCATCAGAATGGCACACAGATGCCAGACCTCTTTGGCTGGAGCCCTCAATTTTTGCTCATTCAAGCAGTTCACCCCCAAACGTGCCCTCCTGCATTGTCTCCCAAGGCAGACAGATGCCAACAAGAAGGAATCACAGGGCTGGAGGCAGAGATTATCATCAGTACATGCCCCCGAGTCAGCATTGGGTGGCTGCATCTGAAAGCTGCCTCTTACTTTTTGTTGTTGTTGTTTAGTTGTTTAGTCGTGTCCGACTCTTCGTGACCCCATGGACCAGAGCACACCGGGTACGCCTGTCTTCCACTGCCTCCCGCAGTTTGGTCAAACTCATGCTGGTAGCTTCAAGAACACTGTCCAACCATCTCGCCCTCTGTCGTCCCCTTCTCCTTGTGCCCTCCATCTTTCCCAACATCAGGGTCTTTTCCAGGGAATATTCTCTTCTCGTGAGGTGGCCGAAGTATTGGAGCCTCAGCTTCACGATCTGTCCTTCCAGTGAGCACTCAGGGCCTCTTACTTTACTGCTCCCAATAACAATTGTGAATTGGATACCTCTATTGATGGTGGATGCTTTTGTACTTGCTAATTCAAGGATCTTCTGCCACCCTCCAGTTTCACTGTCTTCTGAACTTTTTGTTTCTTTCCCGATAGTTCAGTTGCTTCAGTAACAGAAGAACCTTGTGATATTTTAGTATCTCAAGCTGCCTCCTAGTTGCCATAAAGCATGCTCTGGTCTTCAGCTAGGCTTCAAATGTAGCCTGTGTCTGGGATAGTTTGGTGCATGCAAATCTTGCATGTGTTCACTGCAGAAGAAGTTGACTTCTTCTTGGAATGGCAGATATCCCATCCCTGCCATTCCATGTCGCAATCAAACAGATTATCAAACTCTTCTTAATTTGTTTTTTTTATAATATTTTAAAATTAATTTTAACATATAAATTATAAAATGTACCACAAAACTTATCGCTTATACAATCTTTTTAGACTTCCATCAGCACCTCTGATGATCCACCGTTTTAACCACTTCTTATGCATTTCTTAACTTTATATTGCCTTTACATCTCTTAACAAATCATCCTCCCCTTTGTCCATTTTTACAATACTTCTAATAATACTCCTCACAAAACTTCTTGCAACCCTACAAACGCCGTCTGTTCTTCACAATTACTTTTCAAATAGTCCGTAAATTTACTCCAGTCTTCCGTGAATTTCTGGTCTCACCGGTTTCGAATCCTTCCTGTTAATTTATCTAATTCTGCATAGTTCATTAACTTCATCCTCCATTCTTCAATCGATGGTAACTCTTCTTGCTTCCATGGAAAAATGAAAACTCTTCTTAATTTGATGGGAGGATTTGCTATGCAATATGGCGGGCAGGGGGGCTTCTGATCAGACTTCCAAACATCTCTTGCGTTTGCAGAACAACTGTGCAGTTATTTGGATCCAGAACATTATTTATATGGAAATGTTCTGGCTGCCATATGGATGAGGGGAGGAGGGAGTTTGTTCAGCATCTCATTTTATTCCTTTCTACCTTCTTTTTGCAGCTTCTGCTCTCGTCATTCCACTTCTTCAAGGCAGCATGTGCCATCTCATCCTATCTGCTCAGTGCGTACTTTGGACCAACAGTTAAGCAGTCCTTTAGATGCCAAAGTATCCCAAGGACAGACGATGGCAAACAACAATAGCCTACTATGTCAAGAGAAAACATCCAGTCAGGTACGGGGCTCCAATAAACACCAGCTCAGCATGTGCTGATACTTTGTAAGCTGCAAATGGTGTAAATTTGATTTCATTCCCGTAAGCATATTTTTCTTAATACAGTGGTGCCTCGCAAGACGAAAAGAATCCGTTCCGCGAGTCTCTTCGTCTTGCGGGTTTTTTCGTCTTGCGAAGCAAGCCCATTAGAGGTTTAGCGGCTTAGCGCTACAGTATTAGCGGCTTAGCCTGCTTAAAGATCAGCTGATAAGCGGCTTAACGATCAGCTGACAAGCGGCTTAAAGATCAGCTGATAAGCGGCTTAACGATCAGCTGATAAGCGGCTTAGTATCAGCTGTTAAGTGGCTTAAAGATCAGCTGATAAGCGGCTTAGCATCGGCTTAAAGATCAGCTGATAAGCGGCTTAGCATCAGCTGTTAAGCGGCTTAAAGATCAGCTGATAAGCGGCTTAGCATCAGCTGTTAAGCGGCTTAAAGATCAGCTGATAAGCGGCTTAGCCATCAGCTGTTAAGCGGCTTAAAGATCAGCTGATAAGCGGCTTAGCCATCAGCTGATAAGCGGTTTAGCGGCTTGGGAAAAAGGGGGGGGGAACCCCGCAGGAACTCGCAAGACATTTTCGTCTTGCGAAGCAAGCACATAGGAAATTCGTTTTGCGAAGCACCTCCAAAACGGAAAACCGTTTCGTCTAGCGGGTTTTCCGTCTTGCGAGGCATTCGTCTTGCGGGGCACCACTGTATAATGAAGATTCTGTGGGATAACCAGCCTCATATGACTAACATAAAGGTAAAGGTAAAGGGACCCCTGACCATTAGAACCAGTCGTGACCGACTCTGGGGTTGCGGCACTCATCTCGCTTTACTGGCCGAGGGAGCTGGCGTTTGTCCACAGACAGCTTCCGGGTCATGTGTCCAGCATGACTATGCCCTTCTGGCGAACAAGAGCAGCGCACGGAAACGCCGTTTACCTTCCCGCCAGAGTGGTACCTATTTATCTACTTGCACTTTGATGTGCTTTCGAACTGCTAGGTTGGCAGGAGCAGGGACCAAGCAATGGAAGCTCACCCTGTCGCAGGGATTCGAACTGCCGATCTTCTGATCGGCAAGTTCTAGGCTCTGTGGTTTAACCCACAGTGCCACCCGCATCCCTATGACTAACATAAAGTAAAGGTAAATGTACCCCTGCCCATACGGGCCAGTCTTGACAGACTCTAGGGTTGCGCGCTCATCTCACTCTAGAGGCCGGGAGCCAGCGCTGTCCGCAGACACTTCCGGGTCACGTGGCCAGTGTGATGAAGCTGCTCTGGCGAACCGGCACCAGAGCAGCACACGGAAACGCCGTTTACCTTCCCGCCAGAGTGGTACCTATTTATCTATTTGCACTTTGACGTGCTTTCAAACTGCTAGGTTGGCAGGAGCAGGGACTGAGCAACGGGAGCTCACCCCATTGCAGGGATTCGAACCGCCGATCTTCTGATCGGCAAGTCCTAGGCTCTGTGGTTTAACCCACTGCGCCGCCCGCATCCCTATGACTAACATATTTATGTCTAATTAATGCATGAAGGGGTTAATGCCATAGAGTAAGCTGTCCTGCCAGGCTTGCGATGAAGGCAATCAAGGCTTTTATTCCCCTTCAGTCTACCTGAGAAGCTCAGCATGTAAAGAGAGAGGTCAGAGCTGATTGCTCAGACTGCATGGCTTTTAGAAGCCATTCTTGTGTTCCTGTACCAATAATTTAGGAACTTTCACCACTGTAACTACTAAGCCAAGTTTTACTGCCTGTGTTTCCTGAGTGGTGTATGGAAAAGCACATGAACCTGACTTTTGGATAGTTTGTAAGTAAGCCATCTTTATTAAATATGTGGTCTTTTCTATGGTAAGGGAAGAGGGAAGTTTTGGAACTTACAAGGGCATGTTTTAAAGGTCTTACAGACTTTATTTTCATGCTTTACCTTGCTACATATTTTATGATTTTAAATCTCCGCTGAGGTTCTCTCACTGAAGAGCACTTGCCCCAAACCTGATATCCAGAAAATTCTCCATTTATATACTTTTTTTCAATGGTTTCCTGTAGGAGATAATAATGGACATAGCAATGCTTTTATAGTATCACTAATGACTGCTGTTGTGAAAGGCCACTGTGATTATTGTGCATACACTTAAACTTTAATTAAATATCCATAGGCTGTGCATTTTGTATTTAATTGCCATTTTCAGTGTTCTGTCCCCCGTCTCCCCAGCTACACTCATGCATTCCTGCTCCCTGAGATGAACACTTCATGCAAACTGACAAAGTGGAATTTCCACAAAAGCTTATGTAGGCTTTTATGATGCCTCAAGAAGTGTGTGTGTGTGTGTGTGTGTGTGTGTGTGTGTGTTTGTATTCCTATATATGGGCAATCAACCCTCTGGCATAGCATGTGGCAGAACCTCCTAAAAAGCCATTGCTGGCCGTGGACAGAAGAAGCAGCCTACTCATGTTAGACCAGGCATAGGCAAACTCAGCCCTCCAGATATTTTGGCACTACAACTCCCATCATCCCTAGCCTACAGGAACAGTGGTCAGGGATGATGGGAGCTATAGTCCCAAAACATCTGGAGGGCCGAGTTTGCCTATGCCTGTGTTAGACTGTGATTCCCCCACACCTTGTTCTGTTTTCCTCATTCTAACCAGAAGTACATAGCAAGGATAGTTAAAGGCTGCAGTTCTTGCCCAGCTGCCCAGCAAAACATGACTTTTTGCCTCTTTTGTGCATCTGCTATGAACTCCCCCCCCCCCACCTTCATCTTCCCACAGACACTTGCTTCTATTAAGGCGGAATTGGCTAAAACACAGGAATCCATCAAGGCCCTTCACAGCGAGAGGAGGTGGGTATGCAGACGTCCGTAGCCTTGATTAAGATCCTTGAGCCTTGGACTGTTAAGCATGTGGGAACCATGCAGCCAAATGAGAGCGTAGCCGGGGTGGGAGGAATGGGGCCCTCTCAATCAGTGGTTTACATCCTCAGCGTTCAGGAGTGTTTGTCTCTGCATCCCTGTCTCAGCAGCAAGTGCAGCAAAGTGGCTGAGCCGGCTCGAAGGGCACTTATCATCAATCAGATTCGGCCGCTAGGTCAGAGAAGTGGGTGATAGGTATGTCTGGTGGTCCATCTCGAATAGAGAGTAGGCAGATAATCTCTCGCGCTTCCGTTCAGGTGTGGGGGTGGCACCTTGATTGCAATCACAAAAGGGCAGCGGCAAGTTGCGACGCCAGAGAAAACGGGACGAAAGTCCCTTGGCAGCAAAGAAAGCCAGGGGAAAGTGACCGTCACGTCCATCCTGCCTTGGTAGCTAGTGACTAGCGAAGGAAATCCTATATGCATATGCTCTGTGCAGCCGCCCCAAGGTCGGGACGGGGTAAAGGCACTGGGCACTCTCCAGTTTTTGCCGTCTTGGTCACCAAACCCACAACATAGCAGTGCAAAGCAGGGCTCCTCAGGCTTCCTTCCTAACATCTGTTCAGTTCTTTTTTTTTTTTTAAATGATATTTATTAAAATTTCAAAAAATACAAAAATTACACAAAAACAAAAAATAAAAATACAAGAAAATACAAGATACAGAAAAAAGAATAACAAAACCCTTATTAAGATATAACAAAGAAATGAAAAATAAAAAGAAACATACAAAATAAAAACAGTTAAAAAACACATTAATTTCCCATAGCATATCTTCCATACACTTATTTCCCCGGACCTCCTCATACCCCCCTTTTTTGTATTCCAGTTCAGTTTGTTAGTTCAGCAAATCCTTACCATTAAGCTTTTACCCATTTGTGAACCTTTTTTCGTCTCTTAAAGCATTACAGCTGGAAACCACTTAGTTTCTATCCAACATCCTTCTAAGATTCATTAATTTTACAATACTTCTGTAAATAGTCTTTAAATTTCTTCCAGTCTTCTTTCACCGACTCTTCTCCCTGGTCTCGGATTCTGCCAGTCATTTCTGCCAATTCCATGTAGTCAATCACCTTCATCTGCCATTCTTCCAGAGTGGGTAGATCTTGTGTCTTCCAATACTCTAACATTTGTTCAGTTCTGTGCCAGAAGTTGGAATAGGCTGTTGGGGAATCACTAGGATGACATGCTGACGCTGTAGCTGATCCGATCTGGCTGTGTGATGGCAAAATCCCTGACCAAGGTGATTGCTGGGATTGCAACCAAGAGCAGAAGCAGCAATTAAGAAGGAAAACAGGCAACAAAGCAGCCCAGAGAAATATTTCATTCACAACCCACCCTCTGCCAATGCATAACTTTCAGCTAAAGAAACTGAACATTTGGTGCAACCCTAAGTTATAGCACTTTTTTATTATTTTAAAAAAGAAAGGTTCCATGTGTGTTGTTGGGTTTCCAAGGGAAAATATTTCCACAGCCATCAAGACTGCCTCTTTGCATGCTCAATTCATGTTAAAGACTGAGGAAGTGGGGGAGGAGACATTATCTAAGGCAGGGATAGGGAACCTCCATCCTGCATGCCAAAGTCGGCACCCCTGGGGTCCTAACTGATGTCACACCAGATGTGGGCCTGGTCTAGCCATGGCTGTGATTGGGAGCTTTAAAGTACTCTTCTGATTGTTCCTAGGTCAATGGGGTTGCATGCAGCGTCTTTTAGATTTGGCATCCAATGCAACTCTTGCTAGGGTTGGCTGTTAGGATACTGCCTGGGAGACGGGGGCATCAGGCAGGCCCTCAGCTGGCTCCGGACGATCACCGGTCTCCCGTGGAACAGCATCAGCCAGTCAGCGACACGAGCCTCAGATATGTTTAGAGACCCATGCACGCTCTGTCAGCAGAGTGTGTAAATCACCTCACAGCAGAAGAGGCGGACAGAGAAATATGTGCAAGCATATTTACAGCATTTACCGTATTTTTCGCTCTATAAGATGCACCAGACCACAAGACGCACCTAGTTTTTGGAGGAGGAAAACAAGAAAAAAAATATTCTGAATCTCAGAAGCCAGAACAACAAAAGGGATCACTACACAGTGAAAGCAGCAATCTCTCTTGCTGTTCTGGCTTCTGGGATAGCTGCGCAGCCTGAATTCGCTCCATAAGACGCACACACATTTCCTCTTACTTTTTAGGAGGGAAAAAGTGAGTCTTATAGAGCAAAAAATACGGTATTCATTGTAGTTCAGGAGCAAAGGAAAACATGTCTGCTTGCCTTCGTGTCCAGCAAAACAGCCAGTATAGCAAAAGCAACATACAGCGGAAGTTCCCAGCAAACTGTGCTGGGAGTAAACAGGCATGTGATATACAGACGTCATGCCTGTACCCTTTTAAGGTGGGATGGAACTATATCCTAACATTGGCTTCATTAGGGAACTCTCCACTGCATCCAACCAGTCCAGGTAGCCATGGCGGTGCTGGAAGGTTGCCCAGGCAACCAAGCAGGAGTAGCAGTAGCAGCTAAAAGGACCCTGCCTAAATAAACTAAAAAAAAAAAACTGGGCAAAAAAATCAAGGAAATTGGACACGCATTCACTGGAGAGCCAGTGTGGTGTAGTAGTTAAGAGCGGTGGACTCGTAATCTGGTGAACCGGGTTCGCTTCCCTGCTCCTCCACATGCAGCTGCTGGGTGACCTTGGGCTAGTCACACTTCTCTGAAGTCTCTCAGCCCCACTCACCTCACAGAGTGTTTGTTGTGGGGGAGGAAGGGAAAGGAGATTGTTAGCTGCTTTGGGACTGCTTCAGGTAGTGATAAAGCGGGATATCAAATCCAAACTCCTCCTCTTCTACCGCTCAGCTGTCTTAGGAGGACAAAGAGCCTACAAAAGTCCCAAGCTCTGATGTTGTCATACAGTTCAACCTGTTGGTGGGGGAAGCATCCTCAAAGAATTTGCCTCACAGTCAGGCATCAGGAAGAGCAGACTTTATCAAACTGCTCATTTTTCAGTGGTCAGGTGCCACCAAAGCAGACATAATGGGGGTTATAATCCTATACTGCCACCACTGGGGAAAGGGTCATATTGCAGCCAAATAACTCTGCTGCCACCACAGGCCAAACACAACATCAACATCAACACTGCACTGCACTGATTCCTGCTGAAAGTGGGGCACTGGGCAGAAATTCAACTCCAAAAGCAAGCCAAATTTTGAGCAGGAAACTTTGCAGCGCTGGGTTGAATCCAAGCTGCAGTCACCAAGATTCTCCCTTCGCAACCTCGACTTAAATCTGAGCGCAGTCTTGATTCTTCATTTGAAGTTGAACCATCTGGAATGAAATAATGTCAGGTGGCAGCCTCAGGTGGCAGTCTTATGTGCCTCACGGAGAATGAGCCAGATCTGGATCCAGCCCACCAACGAAGACCAATTCCTCACACCTGCTCTACGTTATGTGTGGCCCAAGCTGTTAATAGGTAAAAACCAGCGACATAGATATCGATAAAATATAACAGGAGAGGCAGCACAGAGAAAGGTGCACTGGTGGGATGTTTGTTCCCTGTTGAGAAGTAGAACCCATGTTCCATATCAGCTGAAAGCTGTTTTCTGGAATAACCTCACAGAAAGCACACCTGAGCAGTGCAGTTTCGGAGGTAAGATAGCTTGAAAGGCAACAACAACCAGTAAGAAAGACACAAGTCTTTGGTATATATGGTAAAGGTAAAGGGACCCCTGACTATTAGGTCCAGTCGTGGCCGACTCTGAGGTTGCGGCGCTCATCTCACTTTATTGGCCAAAGGAGCCAGCGTACAGCTTCCAGGTCATGTGGCCAGCATGACTAAGCCGCTTCTGGCGAACCAGAGCAGCGCACGGAAACGCCGTTTACCTTCCCGCCTGAGCGGTACCTATTTATCTCCTTGCACTTTGACGTGCTTTCGAACTGCTAGGTTGGCAGGAGCAGGGACTGAACAACGGGAGCTCACCCCGTTGCGGGGATTCGAACCGCCGACCTTCTGATCGGCAAGCCGTAGGCTCTGTGGTTTAACCCACAGATGGTACACTATTCTTAAGTCATCGGACTCCTAGCGCTTCCTGATCTGCCTTCACGAAACCCAGGCCAATGTACAGTGTATGAAAGCTCTCCTTGTTGCTTTGTTTAATAATTTTTTGGGTTTTTTGGAAACATTGTGTTTTCCGGCAGGTACTTGAAGAAGCAACTGAACAAATGCAAGGGCAAAATGCAGCTCCTTCACTCGGCTCAGGAAGACAGAAACCGTGCACTACAAGCAAAGTTCCGTGAGCTATTAGGAAGCCAGGATAGCCTCAAGCTGGAGCTTCAGGAAATGAGAGAGGAAATTAAGGTAACAGAATGGGGTCAACGGCTCTTTGCTTAGGGACAATTCACCCTTAATTGCTTGAAGTATCCCCTTTCTTCTCACAAGTGGAGCCTTCTGGGTCAGCAAGGGGTGACTAAGACCTGGCTTTCCCTTGCATGGTAGGCCTGCTGTTTATCACTTGAAATTGCAGACATGGCCTCACATGACTCATCGCCATCCCATCATGACCAATAAATCCCTCCAACACAGAATCCAAGATGTCGGAGAGAAAGATTTAAAACTAGCTTCATCCCTAACATGCATCTAGCGAGCTTATGGAGGAACATCCCATCATGGGGAGAGTCTCCTTCTGCAGTCTGAAGTGACACGGCCCAGGCACTTCAGTGAGGACTAAGCCTAAATGGCTAGATGCTGCTCAGTCCATAATGAACATAATTAAAAGCCACACAGTTAGAAAACAGTCACATTGGAAATTTTGGCTTGTTCCTCATTTGGGCTCCATGCACAATTTGGTCAAATCCTTGCAGTCGCAGGATAAAGAACCAAAGCAGGTTAGTTGGAGCGCCTTATCTTCAAGGACTTTACAAGCATGCCTCCATTATTTTCCATGTTTTGTCCCTCGGCTTTTGCATATTTCTGACCTATTTATGAAATAAATAAATTTAATATACCCCTATTGACAGATTTGCATAATATATTCCTTTGGGAGAATTTCAGATCTCATGCTTTCATTTTCCAGCTTTTTAAATGATGTCCTTAGTTATAATATTATTTCCAATTGGATAGGCATGATTTCTTTTTGGCAGGATGACCCTAACAATTTGATTGCGTGAATCACCCATTCTGGGCATCACGCAATTTTAAAATCTACAATATGATTTCCTCCATTAAATACTTTGAGAATCATTTCCAAGCCAGTTACCCCTTGGGCTGTTACCCTCTCCAGCTTTTGTGAACATAGTGGGAGTTGTTTAGGTAAAGGTAAAAGCACCCCTGACCATTAGGTCCAGTCGTGGCCGACTCTGGGGTTGCGGTGCTCATCTCGCTTTATTGGCTGAGGGAGCCGGCGTACAGCTTCCGGGTCATGTGGCCAGCATGACTAAGCCGCTTCTGGCAAACCAGAGCAGCGCACAGAAACACTGTTTACTTTCCCGCCGGAGCGGTACCTATTTATCTACTTGCACTTTTGCTAGGTTGGCAGGAGCAGGGACCGAGCAACGGGAGCTCACCCCGTCACGGGGATTCAAACCACTGACCTTCTGATCAGCAAGTCCTGTTTTAACCCACAGCACCACCCGCATCCCGGGAGTTGTTTATTGAGGCTCAGATTGTGATAACTGATTAAATGACTCTGAAATGTGGAGAGATGATGGTGTATAATACATAACTGGAGTTTTCACTCTGAAGTTGAGGCAAAGCAGCAAGGTGCTAATCAACCTTTTCTTTGACTCAGGAAGAAAAATGTTGTGTAATGTGTATGGACCTGTTTTCTCAAGCAGTAATACATATGTTCATGTCTGCCATGATTTTCCAACCAAAGCAAATTTCAAAGGCAGTTAGTGCCATTGCCCTTCAAAGGCAATGCTTTGCCATTGAGATTAACTGTCCAAAAGAAAAAGAATCAAAATCTCCCCTGAGCTAGCATGACCTTCGAGTAATCGTATGATGTTATTTAGGTCACGTCTGAGAGTTTTTCCCTATGATGATGATGATGATGATGATGTTCAGTAGTGAAACAAGCTCAACTCAGATGCCTTTATTTCACAGGTGAAAAGCTAAAGTCCAGGAATATTTGAGAAAATCTCAGCATTGCTCGGGGGTCAGTGGGAAAGTTGATGAGTCACAGTTGCCATTCCAACAAGCTTATTCATGTTGGACTGTCAGGGCCAGTCATTGGGCAGCTGTGGCAGTAAAAAGGAATTGATCAAGTGGAAAGTGACCCTGAACTTGGAGGGGATGTCACAGGATCACACCTATCAGAGTAGGATTCTGAATAAAGTAGCTTGCTTGGGCCTTTAAGATCCAGTCATCTTGTGCTTTATATTCATTATTCCACCATTTTTACTCAGAGGTTGTGTTTTGTTTTTATGCAGTATTCACAATGCTAAATATGCAACTGCTTTACTCATTTTGTTCCTTTTGCTTGCTGGCTTGCCAGTCTCCTAACACTGCCAATGCCTGACGACAGGACCTCTGGTCTTTTGGTCCTTTTTATTATGAAGAGGGACAGCCAGTGTTTCTTGAGCTTCAGAAAATTTTAAAGGAGCGTTACATAACAGCCATTCTTTACCCCAGTGGTTCCTAATCTGGTGCCCTCCCAGATGTTTTGGACTACAACTCCCATCAGCTGCAGCCAGCAGGGCCCAATGGTCAATGACGATGGGAGTTGCAGTCCAGCAACATCTAGAGGGTGATCGAAGGCTGTAGAGAAAGGGTGTGGTGTAGAGAGAGGAGGTGTGGCCTGTAGAGAAAAGGTGTGGCCTAGAGAGAGGAGGTGTGACATGAGGAGAGAGTGGGGCTGAGGAGTGGGTGTGGCCTGCAGAGAAAGGGTGTGGCATAGACAAGAGGAAGTGTGGTGTTATGTACTGAAGTTCTCACCCTGGGCCAGCAGGGGGATACTGTAGATAGTTCAGGTCCACATATGCAAATAAGGGATCGAAAGTGACGTTCAGTGATTGGATAGTTACAGAAAGTTGTTACAGTTACGTTGTACTGGAGCTCTATATAAGCAGGCTGGCTGAACCCTTCAGTTCAGTCCTACCCATCCAAGGGAATTTCCAGATTCCTTATTGCATATCAAAACCACCCATTTAGTGCAACCCTTCTCTATAGCTTTTTCCGAATGGTGATTTCCCCTCTCTGTGCATATACATGAACATTTTAAGTCACATCTCATATTTCCTTTGCAAACTCTTAGAACATCGCTATATGGAGTAAGGAGCCCTTGAAGGAAAGAAATCTCCAGACTAGATCTGGTTGCCCTTCGTTAAAGCCCAACCGTGTGGAATATTCAAAATACAAGTCTCCAGAGCTCCTCTCCTCTTGGATTAAAAGGAAGTGGCTTTGGGAACCACAGGGTGGTCTTCTCGCCAGAAATGCAGGAGGATCACCAGAGAACACACTGAGAGCCCAGTTCTTCCCGAATGCTCCCCCTGAGGTTGCTCATCATGAAAGCCCCCAAGAGAGAACTGCTCCACTAACAGACTGCTCTGAAGCAAACAGGGAACGTCTCAGTAACGGGATTAGGAGCATAAGCCCTAACTATTCCACGGCAACGGAAGCTCTTCATAATGAGATGCAGATGGAGGAGGAGGAACTGCAACAGTTAATGATGAAGTTGAAGGATGCCTTGTCTGTCCAAGTATGGCAAGGTAAGAATTCTCAATGCTGCCTGGATCATCAAAGGGCTTGATTTGATTTGCAACTCAGTCTTAAATTTTATTGTTATTATTATTTTTATTCTATTATTTATACCCCACCCATCTGGCTGGGTTTCCCGCGCCACTCAACAGAATATGAATAATAAAAAAGCGATAAAACATCAGAAATTAAAAACTTCCCTAAACAGGGCTGCCTTCGGATGTCTTCTAAAAGTCAGATAGTTGTTTATTTCCTTGACATCTGGTGGGAGGGCGTTCCACAGGGTGGGTGCCACTACTGAGAAGGCCCTCTGCCTGGTTCCCTGTAGCTTCACTTCTCGCAGTGAGGAAACCGCCAGAAGGCCCTCGGCACTGGATCTCAGTGTCCGGGCTGAAAGATGTGGATGGAGATGCTCCTTCAGGTATACTGGGCTAAGGCCATTTAGGGCTTTAAAGCTCAGCGCCAACACTTCAAATTGTGCTCAGAAACATACTGGGAGCCCGTGTAGGTCTTTCAGGACCAGTGTTATATGGTCTCGGCGGCCGCTCCCAGTCACCAGTCTAGCTGCCGCATTCTATTTTCCATGCCACAGCTACGCAGTGATTATGAAGGAGAAGATCTCTGCCTTCTCCTGGCTGATCACAGCGAGGCCCCTTGTGGAATGAGGAGGAGGGATGATCTCCAAGTCACGGAGAATAGCTGTCAGCTTCAGCATCTGTTTCTTAATAAATAAACCAGCCCTGGACACCAACATATTTGTGCCGCTGGGTGATATAAATCTAGTCTAGTGGGTGATACTTTCCATTGCTATAAATGGGTACATTACTAATCCAATCCATTGTGGATCTGAAGTAATTGGGATTTAGCCCATGTAGTAGAGTTTGACTCAAGCCTAGATAGAACATGCGCCCTAAATCCAGGCATTCTACCTAACCAGACTGTGGACCTGTTAGGGATCTGTGACTGCACAAAATATATCATATCTAAGTCATTATGCAGCAGAGATGTTCAAATGTCATAGGGAGCTGTGCTGAAGAAACCAACATCGCTTATAAAAGTTCATACCATAATACTGCCAGCCTCCACCAATCTGATGCCATCCAAGAATTTTGGACTTCAATTCCCATCAGCCTCAGCTGGAGGGCACCAGGTTGGCAATATAGTTCAGGGCACGAAAATGTACCAAGATGCATATATAAAATATATATTTAGGATGAAATATGTTCAGAAGTGTGAACTTAGAAAATGGGTATTTTGTGAGAAACATCTAAATATTTCCGCAGGTTTTGTTTATAAAAAAAATCAGAGCTCAATGCAGAAACGGCACATATGGGGAAACTGACACAGTCTAGAAATAAGCTGATCTTCCCATTTCTACCTCAGACCATTCTCTAGGTGCCACAGGTATTAGTAATCTGTATTAGCCAAAACAGAGCAGAACTGCTTGAACAGATTTTGCTGTTGTGGTCAGTGCAGCAGGTACAGCGGTTGGATGTGGGAAATGCCTCCTGCCTAGGTTAAAGGTAAAGGAACCCCTGAGCATTAGGTCCAGTCGTGACCGACTCTGGGGTTGCGGCGCTCATCTCGCTTTATTGGCCGAGGGAACCAGCGTCCAGCTTCCAGGTCATGTGGCCAACATGGCTAAGCCGCTTCTGGCGAACCAGAGCAGCACACGGAAACACCGTTTACCTTCCCGCCGGAGCGGTACCTATTTATCTACTTGCACTTTGACGTGCTTTCGAACTGCTAGGTTGGCAGGAGCAGGGACCGAGCAACGGGAGCTCACCCCGTCACGGGGATTCGAACCGCCGACCTTCTGATCGGCAAGCCCTAGGCTCTGTGGTTTAACCCACAGCGCCACCCGCGTCCTGCAACCTGCCTAGGTTAGGATGCTCTAAAAAAGTGGATTAGAAAGGTATTGAAGAGGAGCCCGTATGGCCATCCATCGTTGTATATTGACTTGGGAATTGTTGCCAAACCCGTTTCCCAGTCGGCACAATCCACTTCTCCTATGGAAACCCCGCTTAATGGCAAGAGCTTGTGCACAGCTTCCATCCATTCGAAGGCGGCTTCTGTAGGAGAACTTCCTAGTGGGCCTGTTTGCTCAGGCTGTAACTCCAGAGAAATTGGCGATCTGAGTGGTTCGGCCCTGCTTTCGAATGATGCCCACATTTGCATTCTTGGATGCTGCTAGCGAATATGTCAGCTTTTCAACTTGTGCCCTGTTGTTTTAGCTTTTGAAGCACTTACTGAATGTCATTCATGCCTGTTTTCCGGGAACAAGATTAAGTCTTTTGATGTCATTATTTTTCACCTTTTAGATAAGCTTCAGAAGCACTGTATACTCTTTCATACCCAAGGGGTTCCCATTCACTTGTGCCCCTCATTCAATTTAAAAGATGCAAATTTCATTCATTTCCCTGGTGGCAAAATTATTTCTTAGAAGGCATCCAGAAAGTACGACACGGGGGGTTCTAAGTCCCTTTTTCAAGAGTGTGATTTGCGGCACCTGCTGATTTTATAGGCTCATTATCATATATTTGAATGAGCTTTCCTGATCAAGTGTGTTATTAAGTAGGCCTCTTGTGTCACTTTAGAGATTCAGCAGTTCTGTCTGCACATAGCAGCGTACTTTGAACCGATACCTCTTATATTGACATTTTATAAATGAGGGCCAATAAACGATATCTTTCTTTTAAATACTCAAACTTGCTAAGACTGCTCTTTGTTGCTATGCAGGGCACCAGTGTACTAATGAGTTTAGAGTAATGTTCTGCAGTCTCAGTGACCCTTATGTTAATCAGAATAAATCAAGATCAGGTATAGCAATTAGCGCATTCTTTTGGGTGTATGCTCACACTTCCATTACTTCCTCTGAGTAATTATATTGGCTTATCTATGTAAACAGGAAAGCGGGTGGCACTGTGGTCTAAACCACAGAGCCTAGGGCTTGCCAATCAGAAGGTCGGCGGTTTGAATCCCTGCGACGGGGTGAGCTCCCGTTGCTCGGTCCCTGCTCCTGCCAACCTAGCAGTTTGAATGCATATCAAAGTGCAAGTAGATAAATAGGTACCGCTCTGGCAGGAAGGTAAATGGTGTTTCTGTGCGCTGCTCTGGTTCGCCAGAAGCGGCTTAGTCATGCTGGCCACATGACCTGGAAGCTGTACGCCGGCTCCCTCAGCCAATAAAGCGAGATGAGCACCGCAACCCCAGAGTCGGTCACGACTGGACCTAATGGTCAGGAGTCGCTTTACCTTTATAAGTAACCAAATTACTAGTAGCAGCGTCTTGTTCCTGCTTCATCCATCCTGCCTGCAACTGATTGCTTTCTGGAACTCTGCGTATGCTCTGCTAAGGTCTGGCTAAGGTCCTGCAACAGGTCAAAGTTGCAAAACACCAATATCTTCACCCCCCTCGTTCAGCCCAGACACTGAGATCCGTTTGCTCGTTGGCACTAAATCACGGTTTCCAACTGATTTTATATATGCAGTTCATAGAATCATAGAATCATAGAGTTGGAATAGACCACAAGGGCCATCGAGTCCAACCCCCTGCCAAGCAGGAAACACCATCAGAGCACTCCTGACATATGGTTGTCAAGCCTCTGCTTAAAGACCTCCAAAGAAGGAGACTCCACCACACTCCTTGGCAGCAAATTCCACTGTCGAACAGCTCTTACTGTCAGGAAGTTCTTCCTAATGTTTAGGTGGAATCTTCTTTCTTGTAGTTTGGATCCATTGCTCCGTGTCCGCTTCTCTGGAGCAGCAGAAAACAACCTTTCTCCCTCCTCTATGTGACATCCTTTTATATATTTGAACATGGCTATCATATCACCCCTTAACCTCCTCTTCTCCAGGCTAAACATGCCCAGCTCCCTTAGCCGTTCCTCATAAGGCATCGTTTCCAGGCCTTTGACCATTTTGGTTGCCCTCCTCTGGACACGTTCCAGTTTGTCAGTGTCCTTCTTGAACTGTGGTGCCCAGAACTGGACACAGTACTCCAGGTGAGGTCTGACCAGAGCAGAATACAGTGTTTGAATATGTTTTTATTCTATGGTGTGTGATTGCTTCACAGTGCTGCAGAGGAAGTGACTGTATTCATAAATGAAATTTATAACCAGTACAATAATTATGAAATCTCAGTCTTAAATGTGCATTGGAGCCACATATTATTTCTGCTCTCTCTCTCTCTCTTTTCCAGGTCAGTTCTCTGTTCTTAAGGAAGGATTGCTCTTAACAGCTAAGAATGTTTGCAAGTCTTTCTCTGATCTTATCAGCCAAGTAACTTTGCCAACTAGGAAATATGGTTATGCTGATATTGGTTCTCCTGCCTCCATCACTGCTTGATTGCTGTCAGGGAACTGACATCGGAGCCAGAGGCGGAGGCTAGGCTCTCAAGCGATGCTGGAGAAGGGCCCAGCAGGGGGAGAGGCAGCTCACCAGCTGGGGAAGGAAATCAGCGTAACACCAGGGATAAAGGGGGGCAGATGGGGGAATCGGTGAGGGGGCTCCAGGACTCCTTGCCGGAGACCAGCGGGGAGAGCACGGGTCCTCCGCTACCCACGCCCTCCCTGCGCAGAAGACATCCGCGCAGGGAGAATAGGAGGAGACTTGGGGTCAAACTGCTTTTATGCTGGAAAAGGTTTAAGAAACGACCACTGACGGATTCTGCTAGCGACTGAACAGCCACGAAGTGAAGGGCTGTCCAGACAGAAAGGGTTTAACAAGACAACCTAGCCAGGAGTGGCACCAACTTATGCACGAGCAACCCCTACATTTATGACAATTGCCTAAGGTAAAAAAGACAGCTACATGATACTAATTCTCCAAAAGTGTCCAGAAATTCATTTAGAGTTAGCTGGCATGGTTATATTCTGGAACAGAAGATTTTCATGCAATGCTACTGTCAAAACTTCCGTACAGTAGTTGTTTTCTCTGGTTTTGTATTCTAATTTTAATATTAATATTGCAATGGCATATTAAACCATCATAGATTGATGTTAACATTTTTTTCAACGTTCCTGTCTCCTGTTGCATGAGTTTTCAAGAAACAATATCTTTAGGTTAAGTCCAATCAACTGAGCACTTTTACGTCATCCCAACAATTTCAGTGACAGAATAAAAGCACGTCCTTTCCTAAATGTGGTTAGCAGTGGCCAGATCTTTATGTAAAAAAATATATATATATTAGGTAATATAGTAAGGATGATTTTTGCAAACAAGGAATGATTGGTCTGAGTGTTGATTATTGAGGCTCTTACTTTTTTTTGTTTATGTTCTAAGATTCTCAAAATGTGCTCAATCCTTGCATGTACAAACACCATCAATGAATATACTCAGACTGTAACCCATTTTAAGAGAGAACCCCTAAGCTTCCAGGAAGGGTGTCTGGAAGTTCATTAGATACGGCAGACCTCCCTTTCCCTAGTCAGTAGGTCCCCCAGTGTGGTGGTGATAAGTTCTGCCACCATTACTGAACTGCCCTCAGTTTTCCAGGGATAAGAAGGACAAAAAAGGATGGTGTAAATCAGGGTGGACTGGGAGAGGCTATAGATCTGTCATATCTAGAGACTTCCGGGTTGGTGCCTCCGGCAACGGCGGAGTTCCTCTGATCAGGAGGAACTTGCCGCGTGGGAATTTGGGTCTGTACCACAGCGGCGAAGGCAGAGACCCGTAAAAATCACAGGCGGGAGAAGCCTGTGAACGTGGGATTCGGCGGGCACCTTTTGCGCCTCCCCTACTCGCGGGGGAACCCGATTTCGGGGACCCAGAGCGATGTGGGGTGAGTGGCGCGGTTCTTCGAATCGTCTGCTTCTTCCACGGAGCGAAGCCGCATAGCTGTTGCCGGAGAGCACTGACTTTTTCCTGTGGACAATTTGACTCCAAAGTAATTACCCGTGAGTAGAGCTGATACGGGAGAATCGGATTTTAAACGTTTAATTTGGCATCGAAACGGGGAGGTTCAAAACAGGAAGGCCACCTTCCCTATTTGTAAATAGACTGAGGCAAGGAGTCTGTAAGCTGAAGTCTTGGAAAGCCTTTTGTTAAAGATTAAATTTCCATCGGTAAAGAGTATAAAATCCCCCTTGGAGGCAGGAGAAGAGGGGGGGAAGCTGTGGACTGAGTATGCCTGCAGGAGAGAGTAAAGAGAGTTAAAATACTGCCGCTCTGACCCTGGAAACGGGCTGCTAGTAGGACTGACGTTTTGGAATGTCCATTGACAGCACTTAGAACGTTCCTTGACAGCTAGCAGAATAAGAGAGATATATTGTTTCTACTGTCTCCGGCTGCTTCTAAAAAGGAGTAATAAAGTAACTGAAAACTGAAACTAACTTTGGATTGTACGAGTTGCGCTTAAAGGTGACATTCTTGACTATTATAAATAGAAACTGTTTCCCCCTAGTGGAAGTTTCTGAAATTGGTTACTTTATAAGAGCTGGGCTAGGGGAGTTTCCAGCTGCAAGATAAAAACTGTGTGACTCTGGGATCGACCTTGAATCTCTTAAGTGTTATGGCAAATGGAAAGGAAAGAACAGATGAAATGTCAACAGAAGAGGCCTTAGTGGTCGCATTATTGAAAATAAATGACTCGCTGGAACAGCTTCACAAGAAAACAGAAGTGATGAATGTGAAAGCGGATGCTGCAAATAATAAAATTGATTTAATTGTAGAAAGTTTAAATAATCTGGGACAAAAGGTGAACACCAACACAGAAACCACCCAGAAATTGACACAGGAATCTACTTTAATACGGCAAACTGCGGATGAAGTCAGGGAGAAAACCTTTGCTGCTGAATGTAAAACAACACAATTGGAGTGTGAGAGAGCCCCATACATTCAAAAGCAACTTGACGAATATAAGCTGACATTTGCTATGATGGAGCTTAAAGAAAAACAGATGAATTTGAGGATCAGAACCCCACCAGAACTGGGAAAGGAAAGTTTGACAGAGCTTCAGGAGGAGACAGGATCAACATCGGCTGAGAAAGATTTTTGGGGGTCAGTAGGACCGCCAAAAATATGAATTTACTTAAGGGTAACTGTGAAGGACGCTGGATTGAAGAGAAGGGGGATTGGGAAATATGGACAAATCTGAAGTTGTTATGGTTGGGCGGAGCTGTTGTGGTGGAGATGAGGGTTGCTGTGTTGCTGGGGATGTTGCTTTTGTGTCAAAAAGTGCAAGTTTTGGATGGGAGGGATTGTTTCAGGAGGTGGCAGAGGGATGTTCCTGGATTGGTTTGGCAGGGCAGGAAGCCTCGAGTAAAACTTAAGATATTGACGGATGCTAAAGAAGGAGGTGGACCTGCCCTGCCAGACACCTAAACTTTGTTGCATCTGCTTTTTGCTGGCTGAGAGAATGGCTGTCTTTTAAAAGCACTGAAGTGTTGGATAATGGCAGATGAAGTTGATGGACTAGACGGAATTGGCGGAAAAGACTGGCAAGATCCGAGACCAGGGAGAAGAGTCGGTGGAAGAAGACTGGGAAAAGTTTAAAGACAATGTATAGAAATATTGTAAAATTAATGAATGTTAGAAGAATGTTGGAATGAAATTATATGGCTTCAGTAGAAATGTTATAAGGAATTAAGTATAAATAGATTAATAGAGTATTAAAGGAAAATAAGGTTAAAAGGTGTTAAGATAATTATAGGATAGAAAACAGGGGAAGATGGTAAGGAATTGCTGAAATAATTAATAGAAGTGGAATACAAAAAGGGGGGTGTGAGGAGGCCATGGAAATATGGGAAAGAAAGATAAGATATTGGAAGTTTTTTCTTTTTTCTTTTTCTTTTCTTTTTCTTTCTTTTGATGTGTTTTTAAAGTGTTTTTGTTTTGTTTTGTTAATTTTTATGTAGTGTTTTTGTATTATAATGTATTGTCTTTTCTTGGTTTTTTTTGGTAAGTGTTTAAATTGTTGTAAAAGTAATAAATATTATTATAAAAAAAAATAAAAAATCTGTCATATCTAAAGCTCCATCACCTGCTTCTTGGGAGAAAAGCAATGACAAACCTAGACAGCATCTTAAAAAGCAGAGACATCACCTTGCCAACAAAGGTCCGTATAGTAAAAGCTATGGTTTTCCCAGTAGTGATGTATGGAAGTGAGAGCTGGACCATAAAGAAGGCTGATCGCCGAAGAATTGATGCTTTTGAATTATGGTGCTGGAGGAGACTCTTGAGAGTCCCATGGACTGCAAGAAGATCAAACCTATCCATTCTGAAGGAAATCAGCCCTGAGTACTCACTAGAAGGACAGATCCTGAAGCTGAGGCTCCAATACTTTGGCCACCTCATGAGAAGAGAAGACTCCCTGGAAAAGACCCTGATGTTGGGAAAGATGGAGGGCACAAGGAGAAGGGGATGACAGAGGATGAGATGGTTGGACAGTGTTCTCGAAGCTACCAACATGAGTCTGACCAAACTGCGGGAGGCAGTGGAAGACAGGAGAGCCTGGCGTGCTTTGGTCCAAGGGGTCATGAAGAGTCGGACACGACTAAACGACTAAACAACAAAATCATTCCCAAGACAAGTCCTTAAACTGGGAGGGGGGACCAGAGTTGGTGCATCCCGTTTCGCCGCCTGAGGCAAAAGTGTCATCATGATCCTGCCACCACCCCTGAGGCCTCCACCTCCCTCAACTCAGGCTTCAAAGAATAAATGAATATTTTCATAGAATCCTAGAGTTGGAAGGGACCCAAAGAGTCCCAAGGCCCTGCAAAGCAGGAATAACAGCTAAAGAATCCATGACCTCTTGTTTAAGAACCTCCAAGGAAGGAGAGCCCTTCACCTTCCTTCCCCTGTCAAACAGGTCTTACTGCCAGAAAGTTCTTCCTGGTGTTTATTCGGAATCTTCTTCCTTGTATTTTGGGTCCTTCCCTCAAGAGCAGCTTTGGGTTCGAAACATCAAAGAGTCCTTTGACTCCTTAAAGATTACCTTGCACTTTATTTATTTATTAACATTCTTATATTACATCGGTAAACATCGTCATATTACATTACAGGACTTACTATAATATAATTTCCAACATGTATACAAAAAATTATATACAATTTTTATATACTGTACCTTAGAAAGAAAATGAAACAACAAAAAAAGAAAGAACAAATAAAAAACAAACATATTTTTCCAGAAATCATATACATACCAACACACTAGACTTCCTGTCTTTCCCGTTGTATATTCCTTTTTTTACAAATGAATGTACTCTTATTATTGTATAGTTCATTACATTTTATCTAATACATTCTTATATCAATATGTGCTCTTAGTCTTATTTCTAAACGCAGTCTCACTCCAGCGTCAATCAAATGCTAGCATAGATAGCGAACCTTTACTGTATTTTTGAACATATGTTTTATATCTGTCCCACTTTTCCATAAATTT